GCTCGGTAGATTTTTGGAAACTAGAAGGACTGAAAACTAAAATTGTTTTTGATGGAGGCTGAGGCATGTTTTTGAGAGGGACGGTATAATAGCTTGTGGTAACAACTGGCCTTTACTTTAATAGGATGAAGTTTTAGTTTTAGGACAGGAAGAAGGCATTAAGAAGATTTGCTCTTTGTTTACAAGGCAGAATATAAGCAATGTTGGTTATAATATGTATCAATATCTAGATCTTCGTTTATCAATTTTCACTAAATGGGTTTAAAATTTTAATAGGGAGGGAAATTCATCAACTTTATTAAGTACCTATCAAAAATAAATCTTATATCAATGTAATATATTAAAAATCATAATCCTAAGTCTAATAATAAATCTGTTAAAAACACTTTCTCACTACACTGCGCTCACACACGTTAGTAAGACAAAGGAAAATGCACACCCAGCTAATTTTCAATTTCAAGATAATCATTTTGGATGTGTGGACCCTAGGGTAGACTTAATGTCAAAATTTAGATTAGAGCATTCGAAATCTTTGTTTGTCCAATCAAGATCAGCATGGTTATGCTGGTTGACGAGCAGTGATTGCTTCATCCTAGACTCCAGGCAGGCCACACTTAGACAGTAGTCACGTATACCAAGCTTAGGCACAATTACGTTCCAAATACGAGTCGTTCTGCTATTGAAGTTGTCAGGGGGGTCTGCTTGGCTTAGTATAAGGGTGGGTTTCCTACTTGAGCAGGTGAAATTTTCATGGAGGGAAATCGGAGCACGGAATTTCATGATTTTATAGAGCTCAAGGAAACAATGGTAAGTGTACAGGTTTTGGACGGCAAGTATTCCGTGTTCCTTGAACAAAGGTTTCGTGTGCTCTTTCAAGAAAAATTTTTTGTTCAGATTTTGGTTGCCAAACGGTCGAGCACGAGCACAGGTCTTAAATTTATCTAGGTATGCCTCCCTGTCGCCAAACAGTACCCTGAGACAATATTTTTGTGCTTTGAATACAGAACTTATACGAGTTTTGGCTGCCCCACCCCAAACCGTGATACAATAGGAGAGGTGTGATTCAAATAGAGTGTAATACAACTGGCGGTGTAAGAAATCTGGGAGGGAGCAGCGTAGGCGGCAGAGAGTTGATGTTGCATGGCTGAGAGAACGCCTAAGTGATTTTATATGTTCTTCCCAGGTTAGCTTTTCATCGATGACGACTCCCAGAAACTTAGCAGATGCAACTTGTTTTATTGGAAAGTTATCAATGGTTAGAGTATATTCAGAATTATTGTCAGTCTGGGAGGACGATGCTGGTTTAAAGTGAATGAAACAGCATTTAGACAAGTTGACATGGAGTTTGTTTGCTCGCATGTAGGAATATAAACTAGCTAAAAGAGAATTACCACGCATATATGCCTCCTTTTTAGATTTCCCAGTCACAAATATATTGGTGTCATCAGCGAAGGTGACAAATGATCCCAAACTGGAGCTGTTGGCGATATCATTAATATATAGGAGAAATAAGAGAGGTCCAAGAATCGAACCCTGAGGGACTCCAAACTGTATTTTCAAGGCGTCAGATTTCTCACCAACAACTTCAGTATATTGTGATCTATTTGTTAAGTAACTTTTTATAAGATCATTTGCCACCCCACGTATCCCATAGCCCTGTAATTTGACAAGTAATGTACCATGATCTATTGTATCAAAAGCTTTGCTAAGGTCTATGAATATGCCTAAGACATGATGCTTAAGTTTTAGAGATTCAGTTATAAGGTTTACTGAGTGATTAACTGCATGTGAAGTAGAGTGTGACTGCCTGAAGCCAAATTGTGTTTTAGATATTATACCCTGTGAGCTAGCAAACGAATATATTCTTGAGTAAATGATCTTTTCAAAGATTTTACCAAATATAGAGAGAGTAGAGATTGGGCGGTAGTTTTCTATCTCTTCAGGGTTTCCCTTCTTAAATACAGGAGTTATTCTACCAGTCTTTAGAACGTCGGGGAACGTGCCATTAGACATTAAGATGTTGATGTATCGACTAAGGATCGGTGTAATTACGTGAGATGATCTTTTGATTACACTAACAGGAATATCACTTGCTTTTCCATTTTCAAATCCTTTTATTATTTCCGTTATCTCATAAGGTGTACAGTCTTCTAACATAATCGATTTTTCATTAGTCTTTCCAAGGAAATCATAGAATGTTTTTATAGGGAGAATTGGTAAACCAGAGGCCTCACTGCTACTAAGTGTTTCATTGAGCTTAGGGGCAATAGAAACAAAGTAAGAGTTGAATCCATTGGCTATGACTCTACGATTCATGATTCGTTCGTTGTTTATGATAAAGGGAGGCTTAGTTTGCTTCTTTTTCTTGCCCCTGAGCTCATTGATTATCTGCCACATTTTTTTGCTGTTTTCTATATTTTTATGGATTTCATTGCAGTAGTACGATCGTTTGGCGACCTTGATAATACTTTTAAGCATTCTTCGGTAGTCACTGAAGACTTTATAGAGCAGTACATTACCCTCAGGGTTTCTATTTGTTACAGGGTTTCTATTTGTTACAGTGCAGTTTCTATTTGTTACAGTTCTTTTTGGTAACCTTCTGCAAGATTTATTGATATCAATATAACAAAGGGGGTGAACTGTTAATAGGATGAAAGTATAGAATTAGTACAACATAGTACATAGTATACAAGCATTCTTAGTTCTTACCGAGTCATCTGTAGTTTTGACTTTGAAATAAATTGTGCATCCTTTTTGGCCTTTCTTGCAAGTAGGACTGACTTCGACTCTGGGAATCACTGGTGTTTCAGCTTCTCCTTTAGTATCACTGATCGAAACTCTGGAAATAGCTGGTGTTTCAACTTCTCCTTTAGTATCAGTGAGCGAAACTCTGGAAATAGCTGGTATTTCAACTTCTCCTTTAGTATCAGTGAGCGAAACTCTGGAAATAGCTGGTGTTTCAACTTCTACTTTAAAGTCTGCAAAATCTGTTTTGCCATTCTTTCCAGCTTGACAGGAATAAGTTCCAGCATCAGATGCATCCGCATCAAGCAATTTTAACACCAACCTGAATAAATAATTGAATGATGTTTGAGCCATGTACTTTTCATAACATAAATAAAATGTCAAAATTGTAAACCGTTATTTATTTCTGGCTGTTCTAACCTGTCCTCTGAAATTCTTGTCCTCATAAATCCCTCTAGAGTTACTGGAACCCCATCTTTTGACCATGTAATATCCTTTTTCAAGAATCCACTCATATCAATTTCACATGCTAAAGTTATAGTTTCTCCTTTTTCAACTGTCACATCAGAATTTGCTGCCTGTTGTTATGTTATTATTGTAACAATAATGTGAGTAATGTTATATAATTGATTTGTAAATCCATTATTTCAATTAATTGATTTACTTGTTTGGGGTTAAATGAGGAAGCAATTCTGGGTCCAAAGATTGAAATTTGGGCAGTTTACTTTGTAGATAAGTTTACAGTTTGAACAAGTAACTATGTTTTTAACCTTGTTTTCAAGTTTGGCAGTCTACCCTTTTCTCAATCTCCAACTTTAAAATTATACGAATTCCCTTGTTGTGCAAGAACATTTTGAAATGCTTGCACTAATTGACCCATTTGTAATGCACTAAAGCAGATGAAGTTTCTCCTAATCGTAGCTTCTCGAAATCGTGCATATATTTATTATTTAAAAATACTTTAAATGTAAAACGATTTAAGAAGATATGTAATTAAAAAGAAGTACTTACACCAAATGTATGTCCTGTTTCTTCAGATTGGCACTCTAAACCTGTAAGAGTTTTCCTTTATTAATTTCTGTGTCTGATGCCCACTTTTATCTAAAATCATAACACATTTTCACTGCTGTCTAGAAGTTAGACTCATTTAATCTGTTTAAATTGACCTTGTCAAAAGGTAAAGTTGCTCATAAAATGTCTACAAAATAAAACACATACCTGTGCCAACTACGCCCCACCATATGTTTGCAGTCCCTCCTTTAGGAGCATCCCAGTAGACAGCTCCCTCTTCAGGATAATACCACATATTAAACTTCCTGTGGTCAGGGAAGTTGACCCAGCCTGTTTGTGGGTACACACTCTCGTTTATCTGTCCGTACGCACTAGGACGGTTATAAGGGGTTGCCAGTCCACCGTTAGTTGCCCGTTGCCCCCCTTGATGATGTTCACCCAGCTTATAGGTTTGAAGGCTTTATCAATTGGTGTTGGGGTATTCAGCCCTGAGATAAGATTGGAATGTTTGACTTGTGATATAGATTGTAAGGACATCAATATTCATCAATTTAAATGTTGAATTGTTTAAGTAGAAAGGATAGTTATTTTTGGGTTTTTCCTCATGTTGATTTAAGGTTAGTGTCTACCTGCTCCATAAAATAACAAAGCGATTAATGCCAATTGCACTGACAATACCAGGATCGTACTGATTAAAATACATAGCGTCTGTGAAGAATCAATAACGACAAAGACCTTCAGCTCGTGGGAAAATAGCTAATCGTGTGGGCTTTTGAATTAGTTTCAAATTCTGCAAGCTTCGATGCATATGGAATGAGATCGGCAATAAACATTGAAACTACAATTTTCTGTTTGTCAGAGCGGCTCTCTCTACCAGATATGAAGTGAATATTAATAACAATACAGTGTAATATGATAGACTATTATAAATGACAATATATAATTGCTTAACTAACATAATCAATGTAATCAAAGAAGAGAGTTAACGTAGCAACTGAAGACATGTATTCTAGATCATTATTCATCAGCAGATTGCAATCAAGTCACTTTAGCTCTGTTGTTGTAACAATGAATATTATATTAATTTATACATGGCCATGGATCATGTATAATACTTCATTTTTGTGTCTATCCTGAGTATCCACTGTACATTATTGTTCCATAATCACTCAACCTAAACCCAAGGACCCCTATTATCATCCCAACAATCCTTAAGAAATCCCCAACCAAAAAATGATTATAACAAACTCTTTTAGGATGGCAATGGTAACGTCACGTCACATTTCCCATGACCCAGTCAGCAATTTGAGGGTAAAAGTACGATTAAAACGAATAACATCGACATCTGTGCTGGGGAACATAGCAGAGACATTTGCTAATCCTGCATCTACCGGTAAATCTGTTACCAAATAAAAGATATCAGTTTTCCTCTACCCAAATTTGTTTGGGCATCTTTACCAATGAAATTTGTACCTCCAAAATGTAATACAGTGTGATTATATGGTGCAAGGTACCTATTGTTTGCACCATAACCCTAATACTACTGTTACTACCTCAGGTCAGGATATAGAACTAATGCCTCGTAACGAAGAAGCAGGTGCCACTGAAGAAGCGACCGTATCCTGGCAGGAGAAGATCTTGAGTCAGAGAGAGATAGAGCTTTATGGAGATGCTATCAACTGTAATACTGTTAGAGAGAGGCACTACCATGAGTACGTAGTTTTGTCACCTTTTAATAAGTTAAAATGTATAATTAGTCCAAGAGTAACAATTCTAACTTTCGCGTGCTGAGCTGAGCTGGGTAAATATCATCGATTGCATTATAATCGCTGATATTGTTTAAAGAATTTTGAAGCTCTCAAATAAACAGATTTTCATAGTAAGCAACCTGGTAAAAACTAACTGCATTCACCTAAAACTTACTTTTAAATCCAAGGTGATGGTTAATAAATAGGTAAAATTGCACTGACAAAATATACTAAATGTGTATTACTTCAGGGTGATTGAAGGGATGAGGGAACGTAACGAGTTCCACCACCGCCGTATCTACACCTGCGTAGAAGAGGACCCGGCTGTTAGTGATAAGGAAAACATACCTCTTACTTCCAGAACCTCCCAGGCTTTATCTTATCTTGAGCACAAGGTCTTTATTGATATTTTCTTTGGTTACTTAATACTAGGTTAAATCTCTATTTACTTAACCTTGATTATTCGGGTATTCAACTTAACAGGCATAATATTTATCCCTCAATTACTGATTTTACTTTGAAAAAACTGTAAATTATGCCTTCATTCGCATATATAATATATATAATAATATGTGAATTTCCGTTTAATACCAGATGAGACAAGCGAGACCAGCGGGTCGGAAACAAAACTACACACCCTTACAGCACCCAGTTCAAGTTCCTTCCAGTGATGTCAACAGGAAATCTAATCATGTAAGTTTAACTACTCAACTTGCTCTTTTAATTTTACTTTAGAAATTAAGTTGCAAGGTTCCTTAAAGTTAACACCAGCAATCTAGTCCCCTTTCTCGTATTATCTAATATGATATAATAGTTATCATCACAGATTATACGTGTAACTTAGTTATCGTATTTTGATAGTTTTCTACTATCGTTCACAAAAATGATAACTCGACTTGACTTAAAAACATTCAAAAATTAAAATAATCCGTATTATAATTCTATTCGATAAAAATTGGAACCCCTTTTCTTTTCTGAAGAATATTTCTTTGGAATGTTATTGTTCACAACGAATATTATATCTAGGATTGTCTACGCAAATTTATCGTCCTCAGAGAAAGGACCGATTCCCCAAACTTGAATCTCACTCACATGCACAAAATCGTTCCGTTCTTGATGCAGCGTCACTGTTTTAGCGTACGTAGGATCATTGTCTGCAACTTTGAAGTCATAAATATTCTCAGCACCTGCAACAACTCCAATCACTTTATCGTCAGCATAGATTTTTACTCCGATGAGACGTTGCAACTGGCCGTGCCTTGCATTCCATATTGTTATGCGGAAGATCCTAAACAGAGCACCGAGATTAATCCAAATCTTTTGGTTATGTCCATTGCTAGTATGGGCAAAGCTTCGAACATGACTGTTGGGTGACCATAAGTTAGATACCAACTGACCATCAACAGCCAGGGCGCTACCATGACCACCCTTACCATGTACAACGAGTTTATTCATTACGTGTGATCAGGTGATTGGTTTACCTAATCACGTGATAAGGTGACCCCGTTAACTACCCGTTAAACATTATGGGAATTGTTTAGGGTACCCAATTAAGTTGGTGTGTCACGCTGTCACATAATCACCCAGTCAATTTTGTTAACGAGATACAGAAAATGCTTGATAACTTTGTCATTTCTAATCTGTTTTGCCTCATGTTTTCAGATCATATGCAACATTTGATAATCTACCGTCTCTGACAAAATTAGGCGTTCAGCATGTTCAGAGAAAACAATATAGGTGTTTTAATATTGAATGGGCGTGGTCTAAAATATTCGAATTTTCAAATTTTGACAACAGACTCCTCGAACCAGTAAGTACAGTATGCCATCTGCAAAGCAACAGCTCTCAAATATAAAACACGGCGGAGCTATTAAGGCCAACGTATGGGTACTGACTTTTGGCCCACCCTGTACATCAACTGAGGTCTGATCTGACATCTTATGGAGTGATATCAGTCTAACTTCGGTCATCATAAGTTCTTGACGAGTCTTGATATTCTCAGTTAACACTCCGTTCGCTTCTACTTTAGTTTGGATACCAGCAATCAAATCCTTGTTCGATTCTATCTTTACTTTGATAGCCTCGATTTCGTCAAGTCGAGCTGTTACGTTGTCTTTGAGATCTTGCCCCAACCATTCTATTTTTCCTTGCAGATCTTCTTTCAGTTCAGCTGATGCGTTCCCAAGAGCTTGCAACCAGACTTGTTCCAGACCTTCTTGCGGTTTGCTAAACTTTACCTTGATTTCGTCAAGTCGAGCTGTGATGTTGTCAAGGGAGATGTTCATCGCCTCAAGACGACTGTTAGTAGAGAAACCTTGGTGCTTCAGTAATGCCAGAGATTCTTTTATGCTAGTTTCCCACTCCATCCTCACATTAAACGCTGCTTCTCTGATTTCCAAAGCCTCTTCTTTTATCACCAAAGCTTCGTGTATCAGATCATAGGCTTGGCCCTTCAACTTTTGTGCTTCCTCCTGCATCTCTATCGTTTTCTCTCGAAGTACGAGCGATTGCATCAATTTGTTTCCAAGTGAACTCAAGCCAGTATCATCCGATAACTGATTTAGTGAAAATATTTCGGTTTCATCTTGAGCTACGATACACTTTACAACTATGAAAATAATTGTTATATACAACATCTTGAATGATGAGTATTAAAACAAAAACGGGTGTATACAACTGAACAGGGCCTGTTTAACATGAAGATTAGTAAAATAATGCTGTTATCGCACCAATATATTAATTACGGTTTAAGGCTTATGAATTTTACAGATGTTTCCCTGAACAATTATTTCGAGGGATTGAATAACAAAATTGCAATTCCACTAGACCTCTCTTGAACGTTCTAGAATACATACCATCACATTGTCACCTGATTATGTTACCGATGATTATTATAACATAATAATCAAAAATACATAATATATTATCTTATTGTTCTAATTATATAATAGAATACAGATTGTCGGGTGGTAACACCAATATCATGTTATCAGGTTCAATTGGTTGCTGCCCAGCGGATGTACATAATGGCAGATATTGGCAGACCCCGAGGTCTGCCCAGAGTGGAGGATGAAGCAGTCCTCTGCGCCGTTACCATGGACACCAACCACGTGCTGAGTGTAACACCGCCCTTGAATAGCGGTGACGCGCACTCAATAGAGAACAGTGACGGAGACGTTTGGGAGTACACAGTGGAGCAGGTGGTTCAGGAGTTTAGTGATAAGGATAAGGTCCGCGAGCACGAGGTGCTGGAGGAGCTGTTCTCCCGCCACGCCTCAATGTTACACAACATGGTGGGAACCAGCTTCACTGACCCGCCTCAAGAGGGCGCAGAGCGCGTGCATGTGTTCGGGGAGATTGCACGTGCAGTAGGGTTTGATGCTGATAATCTGTTTGTTAATTACAGTTTCGATCTGCCGCTTGGTTGGTGTGTGGAGGAGGATGTCGAGATGAGAGGTTACTTATTTTCTACTTTTATATTGTTATTTTAACTTTTTTGGGTTAACAAGTAACACTGTGTACAGTCGATCATAAAGTAGAGAAAATTTATCAAATTCTGGTATTCTTTCTGAGAAAATGGTTTATCAATATCATGCTTTTGGACACGAAGGAAAACACACAACGTAATGCTTGAAATCTTTGTAAAACTACATCATTAGAGCCTGTAAAAACATTTAACTTTAATATAAGCACTCTATCAAGTAAAATTCATATATATAATAATCATCATAATTTATTAACTCAGACGTAAAAATTTTAACAAAGGCAAAATCTATTCAGTCAAATTTCGTAGCATTTAAGCAATTATTTATTATTTATTATTTATATTTATCACTATCATCACAAATATACAATTAATGTAACTTAATAACTCGCAGGGCTAACTCAACGTAGTATCATCAGAGAAACAAAGTCGGGACAGATTGCACACTTCAACCACCCTTTTGAACTGACACTTTTCAATAGCACAAGTAAAGACGAAGAAATGGGCGGGCGACCTAGACTTTTTGTTGAGGTTTGTTCACACTTACACTTTGTTCACAATTTGTTCACACTTTGTTCACACATTGTTCACACTTTGTTCACACGGTTCAAAATATATAAGACTTTTTTTTAGATCGTTAGAGTTTTAAATCGTTTCTGGATAGTGTCACTTTGAACAATCAGCGGTCTTATCTGCCTTGGTAGAGTATCTAGCGGGGGAAACAGGAACTTTAATGTACTGTTCCTCTTTCCAGGAACTAACAATCAGGTACACCCAGTCGTCGTTGTCTTGCACGTGCAGTCGTCCGTTATTCTGCACGTGTTGCTGCGCGGTGCTTTTCACTTGTTCACCCCCTCCCTGCACTTTGATGTAAGCGTACTTTACATTCACAGCCTCGCTGCTCTGCCTGAAATACATAAAGTCGATCAATTTTATGGATTATGGAATGTTGAAATGTACCTGAGAATTATATTATTATACTATTATTATATATATTATATTACTGACAAAGTGGTTTGTTCGAAAATTACTAGCAAGCCTGGATGAAGGTATGAAGGTCGTAAGTCGTATGTAACCTCCCCTTTCTCTTATACGATTCCATTATTACGTTGACTTAGATCTTACTTTAACTTACCCTGGAGCCCTGTGCTCTGCATAAACCAGTTTATCAGTACCAGCCGGGAAGCTACGACGAGGTACAGGTTTCATTTCAGTCTTCATCTGACAAGCCGTTTTAAAACCCAAAACAGTGGCAAACAAAATTGAGAAAAGAAGATTACGACGCTCCTAAGAACCAAAAACTTCTTGATGACGTTACCTTATTAAACTGGGCAGCAAAAAAGAATTGAGAAAATTCAGAGCGTAAAACGGGTTTTAATGTAAACTTTTACTGAAGAAACGTCACTGATTAACAGATGGTTTTGATGTCAATAAGCTGAGTTCTCAACAACCGGGGTACTTCACTGGTTTAGGTTTTCCCCCAGCCCATCTCTGGTTGCAGTATTATACAGTCACGTGATATTTGCAGATATTTCAGAGGACGTCTTGTCTATCTGAAGTTACTTAAACCTTATCGTATAACAACCGAGATAAGCACATCGATCAACTTTAAAACAGACCTAATTAAATTACTGGCTAAAGTAACTGGTACCGAGGTGGTTCCTGAAAAAGAAGAGTAATGTTCCAAATCACTCAAATGTGCACCCTAGCAGTAGCCAGTAACGGTACCCTTAGCGGTCCCTGACCTAGGGTGCCGTTAGGATTGCACAAGGGTACCGCAGTGTCGTATCGTTGCCTGTTGGCGCCGGACCTAATTTACCGATTGTTTAAATTCGGCATCTAGCGTCATCTAGCGTCATCTAGCGTCATCTAGCGTCATCTAGCGTCATCTAGCGTCATCTAGCGTCATCTAGCGTCATCTAGCGTCATCTAGATGACGCTAGATGACGCTAAATGACGTTATATGACGCTATCTAGCGTCATTTAACGCTAGTTACGCGACAATGTCGCCAGGCGACAGCTAGCGCTATTTGCATAGAATTTCTGGCCTTTTTGTAGGCGACATCTAGCGCTATATTTCGTCACGACATCAGACAACATCTGACGACATCTGACGTGGCGACATTTAGCGCTAGATAGCGCTAAATGTCGGTTTGCGACAGTTCACGCTAAATGTCTCGGCGCTGGCTTTTAATAATTTGACATTGGTTTTCATGGTATTGGTGTTTGCAGCCGAACAAAACGGTTTTACAAAACCCCTAATATTAACCCTAACCCTAACAGTAGCAGTAACATTAATCCCGAAACTATCCAATCCATATTATGCCCTTACCCTTACTCTAACTCTCTAACAAGCTACTTGTTTATGTTACTGAAGGAAGTTGGGACAAACTCTAAAGAGGAACTGTGAACCCTGATGCGGGACAGGGATATATGGAGGGCGTTATCTGGCGTAGATCGGACTTAGTTCCGACATAGTAGTAGTAATAGTAGTAACTCTCTAACCCTATTATACCTGAAAAGTTTCAAGAAAATCGTACGGTAGGATCCGCCATAAACTATTGCTAGCGCTATCTAGCGCTATATGTCGCGAGGTATAATAGGGTTAGAGAGTTACTATTAGAGTTTGATTGGGCGACATCTGTCCGACAGCGACATCTGTCGGACTCAGAAAATAGGTTATTCGGATAATAGTTTATGTCGGATCCTACCTTACGATTTTCTTGAAACTTTCTATAAAGTATGGTGGTTATAGGACGGATAATCTGTGTAAGTTTGAGCGAATTTCTATGTGCCAAATTTGAGATATCACCTTAAACACACAAATATCTCCAATTCGGTGCTTTGCAGTGGTTCCAAGGCATATATCTGGAGATCCAACGATACGATTTTCTTGAAACTTTCTAGATCTTGGGTGAATTTCTATGTGCCAAATTTGAGATATCACTTCAAACACAAGAAAATAGTGCTGTCGGACAGATGTCGCTGTCGGACAGATGTCGTGTTACCGTCGCCCACAAAAAGGCCAGAAATTCTGTGCAAATAGCGCTAGCAGTAGCTGTCATAACTAGCGTTAAACTAGCGTCATATAGCGTCATCTAGCGTCATCTAGCGTCATCTAGCGTCATCTAGCGATATCTAGTGCTAGATGGCTACATTGGGAAGGTGCCACGCAATTAGCGATGACGCTAGATGACGCTAGATGACGCTAGATGACGCTAGATGACGATCTAGATGACGCTAGATGACGCTAGATGTCGAATTTCAACTATCGGTAAAGGTCCTTGGCGCCTCCCCCCCCCTGCTGAAAAAGTGCCCCCCTGTTGGCGCCCCCTCCCCTTTTCGCCCCTCCCTAAAATTGAACAAATTAGATGATTTAGAGGATACGCCGGTAAAATCTCTAAAAAAGTGTGTTTCTAGAGCAAAACGCACAGTTTTGCTAGCACCGTAGTTAAGTTTTTCGAAATTGTCCCACATTCAAACGACGATTTGGTGCGCCCCTAAAGCCCTAAGATTTGACGCGCTCCTAAGACTCTAAAATTGCAATTTTTACAAGACTGAGGTACTCACCGTGTGGGTCTGACTGAAAGAAAAAAGTGTTGCGACGTGTCTAACCATTGCAGTCAAAACAAGAGAGATGAATACTGGAGCTGGAAGTAGACCGTGGAACTCTGGTAGTGCAGTTCCCTGTTGCAAAACTCTACTGTTAAGCAATGATGCTCGAGATAAGACAGCTGCGAAGGACATGATCTACTCACTGAGAAAATTAAATCGCTTAAAAGATTACATCATTTGTCTCTGGAATAATGATTAAATACGAATATTAAGAAGATATGCAAAATCCGGATTGGAATATTGTTTATGAATCGCATAGTTTCGAAATGTTTTCTTAGGTAAATTTCTATTGATCCCGTTTGATGCGACAAGGAAAAGGCTCTTATCAGGAAAGGAATTATTCAACGTTTCCATGTGACAACATCGTATTCATGATCTAAAAATATTTCTATCAAAAATTCAAAACATAAAAATCATAAATTTGAGGCAAAATTAGTGCACAATTATTTTTAATTCAATAAACTTTTATTTATCCAAAAATGCGATACAAAAAGTCATAAAAAAATTATTTGATACGACGACAAACTTTTATAGCAATAACGTACACTCCTAGAAATACTACAAGACTAAATATACTACACATGATTACAAAAGCGTAGAATGCTACAACGGTGAACAAGGTAGATGATGTGAAGTGTGTAGGTATGTATCTAGTGTGACGCGAAATGGCGGGAATGGCATTGACCAATGAGAAGTGCGAAACGTGGGAGCCAAATATGGTTTGATTGAGGAGTAGAGGTAGTGTGTTAAATGCGAGGCGGAAGTGTGCGTGTTTGAGAGGTGGCCCCAGTACTGAATAAAGTAATCAAACCTATAAATGTCACTGAATATCACTACATGTGTAGACGCTCCCCTGTCTGCAAAGTATAAATTATGTTGCACCCAGTTATTATATACTTTTAACTAAAAAACTTTTAATGGTTTCTAACTCATCCCTCTTGTTAATGCTGGGTTTGAGCTTCAAATCAGCATTGCCTCTGCAATCTTTCTTCTAGCTGTGTGCTTTCCGTTTTCAAGATCTCAAATTCTCAATTGGATTCTGACCCCTAGAATCCATTTGGCGAGAAAGTGGGCGTTCCTAACTATGACAGTCTACACTCACTAGTATTAAACGATCGGGAATTGTGTCCTGATATCAAGAACAGAAAAGGAGAGAAGTGTGTCTCTACAATTTGGTTCTATCAGAAGTGTGTCTGATAAATAGGCTGCCGAAGTGCGTGACTCATTCTGTATTCACGCGTGACTACAGAAAATTCTTGCCATCCGCACACTTACACGCACTGCAGCTGTAAGATAAGTGTTGTAAAGATAAGTGCAACTAAAATTTAAATGAATGTAACCTGCGTCCTGCACTAAAAGGGCTCTAAAAGATGCTGCAATACAAAAGCTACGAAATTACTTTAACCTTACGGACTACTAAGAATTAACTATTTAACTTATGATAAACTGTAATAAAAACCTAACTTAACACTAGACCCTAATAAATAGACCCTAGTCCTACTTGACTACAATTGTAATGAATCGCAAAAGCTTGACTAATATTGGAAGGAGTAAGAGAAAATTTAGCATATCTTAGGTGCTCTCATGAGACGGTCTAAAATATTGAATAAATGTTCTCTTTCCTGAGGTCCTGAAGAGATCTGTCCGCTTTTCTGTAGAGGTTTATCACGGTGTTAGTCTTCACAGATTCCGGATGGCAGGAGATCTTGTGAAGTGTGATGTCCTTCTGCTATGGCTTACCGATCTCATCCTCAACAACCTGTGAATATACTGTCACTGAGAGGGTAATGTTGCTAACCCCAGCATTGATCCCATCAAACTGTAACGATACTAATCTAGTATAAACTAAGACAGGACCCCGGCAGGTACGCAGCGTGGACAGCTGGGACCGGGTCAGACTGGAAGGGTACGGGTACCTGACCCTGCCCAACACCACCGGGTGCCACACCCACACTCTCAACACCTGGAGACCGGAGGGACCAGACAACACCACAAAACTCCGGAGGTTCTTTGTTGGAGGCACTCCGGAGCTGAGTGATGTGAGATACACTCACGTTCCTAGCAACTACAACTCTCATCCCGGTCAGTTGCAGAGGTAGTCACGTGGCTTTCACGTGGTCATATCTCCAGAGCCTTGGTATTTGGTTCAGTCTTTGTTATACCTTGCCATGGCTGTTTTTATCGTTTGTGTTTTAATTCATAATTATAATTATAATTATCTGTTACAGGAAAGTTACTTTAAAACACCAATCATTTCTCAGATCAGAGTACATTGCTGGGAAAGTTTGGATTTAAGACGGTCAGTAGTGGCACTGTGGAAGTAAGGGTGAACATCGTCAAACAAACCATGCCTTCCTTCACTGAGGACAATCAGAAATACAAACGTGTCGCGCTCAAGGTTTGTTTAAAATACATTTTACATACTTGTCAGCTTCATTGAACTCAACCTGTTACTTACAAAAGATTGGAGGATTGACGTCATAATGATTTCTTTTTGGTAATTTTAAACTTCAAACAATACCCAGGATAAATACGGTCGACCAGGGGTTCAAATGGCTCTACTGGATGCTATTGAGACATTCTCTAAAGCCAGAAAGCGTCTAGAGTCGATGAGAACGACGCTGGAACCCTCACTGTCTCGATTAGCTAGCAATATATCCACTGAACAGAGCATCATCAAGCGATGGAGTAAACTAACCTTCAGTAAAGAATGATGTTCAGTGCAGTGGATTTACAGACTGTTTATATTTTGGAGCTATGACTAAAGCTTTAAATTCATATTTTGCGCGAGAGCATGAGTGTATTGACTCGGGAATGTTTTAATCTGATATCAGAGGTTACTTTAAATATTTTGACAGAATTTGACTGGGTATTTGACCACAAAGTGAGAATTGTAACCGATCGGCAATCTGTAAATAGCTAATATTGATCTGTGTACATATTGTACTATACATATTGTACTATCATAAGGTATCTCACCATCATGTCGTAGAAATAAAATATTTTATTTACCAAGTTCAGTCGTTTTATTGAAATAAGTACTTACTTTACCCGACTTTAAACATACTTGCTTAAATCTTAGTAATTAGTCTTGTAAAACAACGATAACAATATAATCCAAACAGCCTGACAATTACAGCCTTAGCCATGGAGGAGGAGCCCTACATACCAGATGTACCCATAACAATGAAGGAAAGTACATCCCTGTTCCCCAACAATCTCTCAGCGTGGGGTCACAGTGGTACCATGCACTATGTTGTAACTTCTAGAGGCCTCGTCAACATTATCGTGGGTAAGTACTTAGTAGTTGTTCCTCTATTTGCACGTCATGTTTTTATTTTTTCAACAGCCTAAGTTACTGAAGTTTTGGTTTTGTATTTTTTCCATTTTATTTCATAATTGCAGCTAAATCTGGTGGGACGATGCAGAAACAGATGCAGGGAAAGGAATGCTCCCACGCCAAACCTATTATACAGGTCTTAATTTAAACACTTTTATCAGCTATCTTGTAATGATTCAGTCAACAGAAATAGTTATCTTTTAGGAACAAATTGATTCATTCTACATACTTAAAAAATATCATAACAGTATAGAACTTATAATCTTGAAAAATCATCACGTTTCATTAGTACATCTTCTCTATAAAATCCAATCTCACAGCTCTAAACCCTAACCACTAAATTCTAACCACTACTTCCCCAAACGCACAGGCAAAGTTTGTGGCTCTGTCTGGTAACCTGTACCTCATACTCTGCACATTCCACGGTATACAAATACACAACGCTACTGATCAGAGGCTGCTTCTGTTCCACCCTCTTCCCGCTGACCCTTCAAAACCAGGTCAGCTTAGTAAATCAGTTATTTTAATAAAATGCTATTATTATAGCAGTGTTTTGTAAATAAGTGTCATTATAATCTGAAGAAGTTTCATTATTGCAATGAGAGCTACCTTAGTCAATAATGTAAGAGCTATAGACATTAGACAACGACAACAAATCCATAAAATCATCTGTGATGATGATCATACTTTTACATGCATGTATAGCATAATTTCTCAGCTCTGAAAATTACATTTTACGTACAGCTGTTCAAGCACACGGTTAATATAGATTAATGTTGGTATAGGTGGATTATGGAAGCTGGAGTATTTTAGTTTCTTGAGAATGCTCCCTTTTTAGTTTGTTGCTCTGCTCTTGTTCTGTCTGTTTTACTACATCCACCAAGATCCTTCTTCAATCGCTCCCAAAATCGAACCTGTAGCGTAATAAGTTAAAAGCACGTCCCGATAACCACAAAATGTATTAAAATACCTAATATTATCCAAATAAAAGTGGAAAATACTATTTACCATTCGAGGGGGGTCGAGCCAGTGTATGACAGTCCAGTGGGGAGTAATCCCTTCCCCTGACTGATTACAGAACTCTTGCCAGATGGGGTAGACCCCCGTAAGGGGGGTTATCTGAACCCCCAGCTGCCCCACAACCTCCCCCATATACACATCCTCTGCACTAGTTAGATCCACGTGCGAAGAGTACGTTAGAACACGTGGTACCAGGTCTATTCCTAGGATGTATCCCGCTCCCGGGGTGAACTCTCTGTATTCCTGGTGTGGGTGTATTGGTTTTACTTAAATAAACCAAATAACATGTAAGTTTTAAAGAAATTGAATCGGACTAGGGTATCAAGTGGTATAAGCTCAATACATTTCCAGTGCACCACACCACACCTATAGACAAACTAACCTCACTGTTACCCTCATGATACTGTGCTACCCACTCCTTCTCCTTATCACTTCCTGGTCGTCTGTGTTTGTAGATCCTACCTCCGAAAATATCACGTGACTTACCTTCAAGCTGCTTTATTACCTGACGTTTATTAATATAAAATATTTTAGTTGAATCTAAATGCCAGCTTAATCTGATTTTTGTTCATTTCCCAACAGTATGCCTCAAACTTGTTTCCTTACCTCATCCACATTAATGATCGAGTCATCATCTGTCTTGAGGATGTAATCGTACGTGAACTGAGAGTGCACCCAGTCCAATGCTGTGAGAGTCAGTATTGGTAACTGAGAATACTTGTCTTGGTCTGAAAAGATAACAATGTCTCCATACTGCTCCGCCTCTAACCTCAGATCATCCTTCACACGGTTCGTCTTCGGAGTGAAACATATAAAGAAATGTATTGCTCTGGCTTGATCAAAATCTCGGTTTAAATTCCAAGACTTGAGACGAGTGAGCCATGATGAGCGAACAGCACTGCGCCGCTTGTAGTACGCTGCTGCAGACAGGGACACTACAACCAGCTTATAGTGAGGTTTGTTGGGTAGTGGAGGTTGGTAAACCACATCTGAAGTGAAGTTAGAGAGCTTGACGAAGTCTCGCGGCTCTTCTGAGAAGCTGGTTTTAGGATGGTTTTTAGTGAGGAGGAGAGTGCGGTACTCCAACCACAAACAGAGAGTTGTTAGACACAGGAACAGGAGAGTGGCTAACAGATACAGTCTGTACTGAAACTTCATCTCATCAGTTAGTAGGTTCCACGTGGTTCTTTAACAGGAAACGGAACTTAAGTATAAGAACTAAGCTAAACTATTAGTCATAACACAAGTATGTTCTAGGTAAACTGTTATGTCAGGCATGTACAAAGTGTGCAACACGGTGATGTATAACAAGACAAAACAATCAATGTATGTGTGCTTCACAAACACATGACATAGTGTATAATATGACGGCCTATATCCTGGTCAAGGTTTAAATCAACTGTTGCTCTTAATACCGGACAATTAATTAGAATCGAGTTTATAGTTACTGCTCGTAGCAGCTTTAGTTCCTTCAGTTAAAGAAATACAAATAATTTGTTATTGTTTAAACCATTATCTTTATATTACATTATTTGAATCATAGTAGTAGTATAAAGTAAACCGAAAAAAGGAAGAAATATTGTTTTATCTAAAACACTGCGACTCCCACTGTTTGTCTTATAATTACACAAGCTCTTTTCGCACATGTATCTCTCGCATGGTTTCATGAACGGTTCACACAGGTGCAATCGCCCGCTTGTAGTGTTCCAAGTGCAGCCTTTATCCACCAAATACCGTTCACTAAGATCCTCTCTGTTACTGACGTGGTGATAGGTTCTACTGAAACACACCTGCGAAGTAGAACGAGTGTTTTTATACTTTCCAAAATCTTATAAAATGTTGATGCAAATTTACAAATCTGTAGAAAAATCCAGAACATCTCACGAACCTGGCCTGAAAGACATCTCAATTTAATCTGGCACTCCGACTCATATTCTGCAGTATCACAAGAGTAACATTCCACCGTCTCATTTGAAGGATCGTAGTCGATTTTATCACAGATCAAATATTGGGGAAAGAGCAGGAATAAAACGTAACCGATCATCTCAAACAATAAATTAAAAGATTATTTTAGTCAAATCACGGAAGATGGCGCAAAGAATTACAGCTGCGGGTTGTGGAAATACCATTGCTTCCGGGGATTGCTGTTGTAGTTGTGGCTTAGATTTACCGGTGTTAATTGTTTTTGGAAATCTGCAATTTTGGGCTAAGAATAATATTATTAAACTGGGAACGGATGAAAACTTTAAGTAGTCGAAATTTATCCTCGAATGTATAATCACAAATTAGATGATCACTACATATTTACATAGTAATATTCTACGATTTGGATTCTCAACGTTAACCGGAGCACAGTTAGATATTATTTTTCCTCAAATTTTTAAACATTGGAGGTTGGAACTCAGACTGCAATAGTTGGTTCTTTTATCAACCGACGGGCTACTTTCAATTGCCACGCTTTGTCACAACCCTAAATAACATTGTAGGAACGCGCGAATTGTTTATTATAACTAAAAAGCATTTTTCTGCAGCCAGTATAAAATTGCGCGGCTTTATTTACCCAATCTTTGTGGCACGCAATGCCGTTTCGCTGGCTGTATGGTCTCGTCCTAGCTTCCGGATAATCTTGTTGAGATGAATCATGATCAATATTAATATGAATCATCTATTATTGAAGTTCAGATGTCATATAGTCGAACAAATTATTTCCTTGAAGTTAGAGCATGGCACCCGCCACTATGAGTACGAGTACGAATACGAGTACGCTGTACGAGTCCCTCCATTTTTCATCCATTCTGAACACATGAAAATAACTTGGGCACATTTTGGGCTCAAAAATCCCTTCGGGTAGATTCGGTGCAAGCACATTTCTGATAAAGTTAACTGTCATGTTACCCCAACAACTAATAACAATGTACACCCACAGGTGAAGAAGTGTTTGCCCAAGGTGCCAGCTCTATCGGTAACGACATGGTCGCAGTCGGGGCTTCTTCTGGCAGGATACTTATCTTCAAAAAAGACTCCGGGACTTTCTCCTGGGCAGATACACTCCAAGGTAATTGTGAAACTTTGCCTTTTTTCGGTATCAAGTCAGAATAGAGGTCATCAACATCGTAATCAGTGAAATCATCGTAATCATCGGCTTTCAGGTATCATACAGCTGATAAAGTATTTTTGAAATTACTAAAGTTGATACTTTGATATCTTTTTAATCTCATACTTTTGTTTTTATACTTGAAATTAAAGAAGCAATGCACCCATACCAACCAACTTTTATGAACCCAGGTTGATTGTTGAATTTGGTATTTGTCATTGCTGAGAAAGTAAGCTATAAAATAGTTTTAGTTTAGCCACTTTTTCAGGGCACAGCAACCCTATTTGTGACATACAGTACAACGGTAAACGTCTCTTCACAAGTGACGATAACGGCTGTGTTCTTGTCTGGTCTCAAAACGGCGACTCTTGGGACTTACTAAAGACATTCGAGGGGGCAGGGTGAGTACAGTGTACACATATAACTCCACTTTTGACCTCTTAGACTGCCACTTATTATTTTCATAATTGCACCGGTTTTTTCCAGGGAGTGCGATTACAAAACTAATTGCACTGTTTTGAGAGAAACTGAAAACATATTCGGTGCGATTACAAAACTAATCGCACTGATTTTCTGATAGATACTGTGATATATTAATAGCTTTCAGAGGTGATTTAACGGGTGATACTTGGGTGGTCTGAAAATCCACAGCAGGCAAGCAAATCGTTCAAACAATCATCACAACTGCAGATAATAGAGTAATAGGGATCCTGGGCCGATTCTTGGTCCATCCCATCCTAGCGGCCAATAGCAATCAATAGAGCAACTAACAACACAGTCCGTGCGATTATAAACTAATCGCACCGATTATATAACACCAGAAGCGTGGAGTTATACGCGAATCTAACTGCGAATCTAACTGCACCAGTTATTGCACTCGGCTGCGCCTCGTGAAATAACTGCAATAATCGAACTCGGATTCGCCTCGTGCAATTAATAGTGTAATCGCATTATACGCAGTTAGATTAGCGTATATAATAATACAACACAACTTTATAAGGACTCTCACTACTAATCCCATTCTGACAGCCTATTCTTTATGAAGGATACTAAACGAGTAGCTAATACTAAGTGTTAACTCTAAATCTCGCAGATCACCCTGTTCTACAATGTGTGTCTACAAGGACTATATTGTCGGGGGTTACGGGTCAGGTCACATAAGAATATTTAACCACCAAGAAGGGTCACTGGTAGCGGAGATAACCGCACACGCACGCTGGATCAATGCCCTGGACGTTAATCCTAGTGGATTGGTAAGAACTTAAGAAAATATCCTTTTTATGATTTTAGACCAAACATAATGTTCCTGGTCATTTACTATTAACCTAGCGGGAACATGGACCCAGGTTCAATAACGTTTTACTGTTGTGAATTGATGCCGATTTCAAATAAAGACCATCATCATTTCAGATGGCATCGGTTTCAGAAGACACTGTTGTAAATCTTTGGGACTTGAATGAGGTAAGAATATTCGCCATTTTATTTAAAACAAAGTATGAACTGTTTTTTATTTTGATACTCAATCAATAATTACTGGTATACTAATTTTTAACGATCCGTAATTAAAATAATTAAAATTTTGCTCAGATATGTCTACAGCACACTTTCTCCATTCCCAACGTCCAGCTGTGCGGTGTCCAATTCCTGCAGGTATTTAACACTTAATAGTTAATACATTTTCTCAAGATGCAAATTTTTGAAATTGTTTGACACGATTGCTACCTGAAGGAATTTATGATATAACACATATTCGTGAAACATCGGATATAATGATCTTATGTCAATGCTTGAAAGGGGAAATAATACAAATATATTATAATAACATCTATAAACAAAAGAGCACCTAAAGAGGCTCAGCAAAGTGCTGGCCTATTTACGCTTACGAAGACTCATTCGTTCAATATGTCTCAAAGTAAATAAACTCCTCCATCCTACTCTATCTCTTGCTAAGTTCACTACGTTGGTAAAATCATCTTCATTTTTCAAATAAATTTGTCTCTTAAATAGGTCCTTTTTCACAATAATATCATACAAATTAGTCCTGTGTCTACCCACTCGTCCCTTTAGCGTTTGACATCCTAGTGTAGCAAATAACAGAGACTGGTAGGCAGGCGTGTCGTTGTCACTGCGTAGAACATGACGTAGCATTGTCCACCGTGCCTTTTCCACTCTCTCGGAAAGAGGCCTGGTCTGGGTACGAGCGTAGAGGGCCTTGTTAGATATTGAGCTAGGCCAATAGATGTGTAGGATGCGCTTGAGGTGCTTCCTCTGAACAACATCTACAGACTCTAGAACATGCTGAGGTACGGCCCAGCAGCAGCAGTTGTACAGGAGCACTGATACTACTAGTGAGTCGTAGAGTTTGATCTTTCTCTTCTCAGTTATCTGACTCCTCTCTGATCCCTGGCACCACAGCTTGTCAAATGAATGGAAAATTAATGAGTGAAATTTTCATAATTCTGTTTACATCTTGTTTCCATAAATAATGAGATGATTTTTCCGATCGATGGATCAATTGTAATTGAAATTGAATTGTTTCAGGGCTCGAATGACTTTGCTGTGACTGGTTACGACATGAAGGACATTCTTATCTTTAAGGAAAATGCCAATTTCAAAAAACTTTGAACTCTTGGATAATTGTCACCCGCCTTTTGATAATAATAATTGATATGGGGTATATCGTGATTGTAAATAAATAATATAAGTTTTTGCTGCTCATATTGCTTTTAAGCTTTTAGAGATAAAGTGCGCATTCGGGAAATGCAACTGAAAACTATTCATTTTTTGTTGGTTAACAGTCGTATTAATGACTTTGTCTGCTCATTGATATATTTATTTAATTCGTTGCTGTGTTCGAACATTGTTATTTCTGCTTTACTCAGATTCCAAAAGTGCGTATCGTTATTGTGTTAAGAAAAGGATTTAATGAAGGCTAATTTAAGTACTCCGCATAATTGATACTAAAATTAAGTTGGCATCAAACACAACTCTCTTCGATAACGACAATCGTTCGACGACTCAAATTGTGAATTGAAAACATATTTTCATCGAGTAATGGCATGCAAACTAATCACTACATAATATAATCCCGCTAACAGTTATTTCAAATTTTCAACCGTCAGATGCAGACGACAGTTGAATTAGTGGATCCTCTTGCTATGTGGTGCTCACGTAGGTAACTATGAGTTACCGTGAGCTACTTTTGGTTTCCTTGAGGACCCGAACAAATCAGAATGCTACTCATCACTTCAGCTACATGTCTCCAGGTACCTATATACCTATATACCTATGGATATCTTTATACATATCATTCAATTAGCTGTCCAATTCATCACACGATTTTTGTTGATATCACAGTGAGATGCGAATCTACACCTCACATAATATTATACAAATAGGTTATAATGTTATTGTGGGGTGTCAAACTCCTCAGCCCGACATACCAACAGACCGACAAAGGAAGTAGTAGCTTTGTAACAGGATCTTTTTTCCTCAGAAATGAGAAATATTAATATAGAAATGAGAAATATTGTGACTCCAAATTATGTCAAACGTTTGACAATAAAACTTCATCCGTCCGGCATAATATGATGATACAGGACGACAATGTTAGTAATTTCGGTCCACATGGCAGAACTAACATACAAACTGATCTCTGACTAATGTCAGAGGGTTAGCTCCTCCCCTATTTGTGGCAGAATCTAAACTTCACGAACTTAGTACCGTAACAGTTTCCTAATGATCTTGATCAGATATCGTGCATATGAATACAGTTAGTATAGTAGGCAATAGAACGACAAGTATTTGAAGTTTATGTCCACGAACGTAATTTTGATCTATATAGGTAGATTGTAGATTGTAGAATGTAGATGTTAATTTTGGTTACAACCCAAAAAACGTTTAAAAAATCACTCCTAAAAAACAATCGTAAGATTGGGTTAGTTTTTAGTTTGTTTATATTTGGTTTGCATCCCCGCCGTTATCTGCTAATTCTAATTGCTATTTGTTATTATTATTATTTATTTCTTTAAAGATGCAACCTGCCATGCAGCTCATGAAGCTCTGGTTATGATAGGAGTCCCGTATTTGCCACTTGCTTTCTTGTAGAAGGCCAGCGGTCGCCACTTATTGAGGTGACAACCTTACGTTGTGTGTTTCCCTTCGTGTCCAAAAGCATTATATTGTAATTATAATTACTCTTTACACAATTAATTCAATATTTGTTGTTTAATTAATATTGCCTGCAGTCGGCCAGCGGTGAGGTTGCAGAAAACACTGTTGCAGGATTAGCACTCCGCCGCAGAAGTATTGAGAGGCCATGATCTGATCACATACGAACTTTTGATTAAATTAAAAAGCTAAATACAAGAATACAGTTATTGAGGACGTTACAGAAGGAATTAATTTAATGTAGTTTAAGGAGTCCTATAATTATGAACTCTCATCACATCCGAAAATGGTGTTTCTCTTGTCGCGAATATGATACTCTTAAGGGGAGATACACCAAAAACGTTTTTGCTCCGAACATCGATTTTATTTTATATTATGGTTAAATAGACAAAAAGAATAAGATTGCCCACCTTCAATATTTTCTAAAAATATTCCCTCATCGAGAAAAAAAATATTTTTCTTTTTCGAAAATTTTTAAAATTTGGAGAAGTCTGTCACTGTAATACCGATAGTTCGGCCATTTTAAAAGTGTTTTGGCTGTTTTTTTACTGAACATTACTTACACTCCGTACAAGACAACCCTATAAAAGGATTATATAATTGAACAATAAATGACCAAGTTACAGACCGAACAAGGTGGAAAAAGAAAAATTGGGATTTTTGCCTACCACCAAAGTTGTACATTTTACCACTCGCCCAGGTCATCAGATATCGCTTCAAAAATTCTTGTGAGTGTAGTTGATGATCATGGAAAGCTTTTTGGAACAGGATTTCTCTCAATTTTGAGTTTTAAGCTATAAAATGTGGCCTAAACGACTTAGTAAAATTCATCGTAAAAAAGGGCCAAACATGGCAGATTTAAGGCTTAAAATGCTTATTACTCAAAAAGTATCAGTTTTTTTGAAATAATTTTTACAGAATCGTAATCAGCTTGGTAAGACGAATCTTTTAGTACCAAATTTATAATAGTTAAAGACACAAAATTTGTAAAAAAATGTGTACAATTTGTACAAAATTTATACAAGGGGGGACCCTTGTGTTCGAGCTAGAAAATTATTTAAGACAATTTGTCTTCTAAAATCACCTATTTGGTACTAAAAGATTCGTCTGATCAAGCTGATTACGATTCTGTAAAAATTATTTCAAAAAAACTGATACTTTTTGAGTAATAAGCATTTTAAGCCTTAAATCTGCCATGTTTGGCCCTTTTTTACGATGAATTTTACTAAGTCGTTTAGGCCACATTTCATAGCTTAAAACTCAAAATTGAGAGAAATCCTGTTCCAAAAGCTTTCCATGATCATCAACTACACTCACAAGAATTTTTGAAGCGATATCTGATGACCTGGGCGAGTGGTAAAATGTACAACTTTGGTGGTAGGCAAAAATCCCAATTTTTCTTTTTCCACCTTGTTCGGTCTGTAACTTGGTCATTTATTGTTCAATTATATAATCCTTTTATAGGGTTGTCTTGTACGGAGTGTAAGTAATGTTCAGTAAAAAAAACAGCCAAAACACTTTTAAAATGGCCGAACTATCGGTATTACAGTGACAGACTTCTCCAAATTTTAAAAATTTTCGAAAAAGAAAAATATTTTTTTTTCTCGATGAGGGAATATTTTTAGAAAATATTGAAGGTGGGCAATTTTATTCTTTTTGTCTATTTAACCATAATATAAAATAAAATCGATGTTCTGAATAAAAACGTTTTTGGTGTATCTCCCCTTAAGTCCTCCCTGATCGGAATGCGGATATGTTGCAACTTTGCTTTCTGTAGGTAATATTAATGAACTAATTAATTGCCGGCACGGCTCTTCATTATCTTATTACAGGTCGTCGAGATTAACGGAATATTACGCACTGCCACGTATCTGCTCACAGTCACCATCAAACCAAATGTTATCAAATAACAATATGACTATGAGTCCACAGCCTTCTACGATGTTCACAAGTTATTTGATTAATAGGGAAGGTGGTAAAAAGTGGCCTCAAGACACGTGGAAAAGTTAGGAAAAGTTGGTCAGGCACAAAGAACACCTAGTGGGACTCAAAAATGTCAAAAATCCTTTGAATAAGCTCGTTGTTCCGGTAGTTTGATTTTTAGACGGATATGTCTACATACTATTGCTTTAAGTTATACTTGTAGACCCGGGTTCTTATTCCAATTGCTATTTTTGTATTACATCGAGAGACCTAAGCTAATTTCGCGGTGGACAGCTCCCTCTTCACGGCACCACGTGGCACGTGAGTAGCAGTGGCCCCGCACTCTGTTATGACAGGCCTCTCATAGTAGACTAAGACAACATAATTCTACAATCTGCATAATTCATGTAGTACGAGAGAATTCGCCTTTCAACGTACGTAAGCATGGACCATTGAAGTTTAGTTCAAATCAAATTTCAGAATAATTTAAACTTTCGAAACAATCGCGGGCTATTTAATAGCTCGCATATAAGTGATGGAAGCTGCGACGTGCTAAATTCCAAAAGTCGCACGAATGTTAAAATGAAGAGTCTAGTATCAATAGTTTTCAGTCTCAAGTATCTTAATATCACTGATTCTCTTATAAAAATGAACTAAAGTGAATGTTAAGCACGTGAATAACGTGATGTAGATTGGAGTAGATATATACTGAAACTTGAATTTGTATATGCGCCATAAAAGTTAGCAGCACTTTGTTATAATGTGGACAGTCCCTCACTTTGTTAATGTTGGACAGTTGCTGTGATACGAGCAGCAGTTGCTCGTTAAATCATGTTCCTTCATTTTGTTATAGTACGTGATTTGTGGTCACTGTTTAGCCCCTTGCACAATGCATGAACGAAATACTTGCACTTTACTGTGTATCTCGCTTCACTTCTGTGTTCCGTACGTTGTAAACTTGTAACTGTACTACGTTTTAAGATCGAAATGCGATTCTACGTTGATTCTGAAAATTTCACGAAAATTATTGAAAGTACCCTATGGGCGATTTTGTTAATTTTTTACAATTATTTGAATACAGAATCCACAGTTAGGTAGATATTGAGCTGATAATCATAGAGAATGTGTAGTTTAGGCTTACCTGTTATATAAAGTTGGTTTCAATATTCAAAAATATTGATATTTGACCAATTTATGGGCCAAAATCGATCGAATTTGGTGATTATGCCCAAATATGGACATATAGTTTTTAACTCATAACTCAGTCATTTTTTTCCCAATCTTAATGAAGATTCATATACGAGTTTAGGGGATCACTATCTACAAGTATAGCACTTAAAACCTGGGGTTTAGGCATGTTCAGGATATTCGGCTAAATTGGGCCTAATTTGGACCAAATATGGGCGTGGCTGCCCCGCAGACACCGGCCACCGTTTGGTGGTTGGGGTCCGGGACTCCCTCAAAAGTTCGGTCACCGGTCCTAGTTTGTTGGTCAACTGCTATCTCGAAATTAAGTTTTAACAAAAAATCAGGGTGATTTTTGTGTTTGTAACTACGAATTATAGTGATGCAGGCGACACACCTGGGACTGGTTGAAAATCTAATTATTATAGGCCACAATGGTTATCACAAGCATTGAATAAACCAGGAAACTCAGGTTCCAATGTATTGCATCAGGTGTGATTATCAGGTATTTGATTGTCAATTACGATGTCATCGGTAATTGGCAGAGTCAATTATAACATTATATCAGCTTTCGTGCTGCTATAATTGTCTTGGCACTGTGCTCGAATCATTTCACCAGAAATAGAAAGCCGATTTGTCAATTTCCTATCTAGGAGATTCCAGTGCACGATTTGAACTCTTATTAGAGCAATTATTTGAATTAATGAATACCACGTGCTAATTTGTTGCTTGTAATTATATTATTAGTAATAAACATATACGACTGGTCTCCTTGTTCATGGACACTCATTATATTACGTGCATCAATTTATGTTCGATTATAGTCATACTACTATCATGATATACGGTAACTGTATGTCAATATAACATACATACATGCCACATGAAGAGGTCTCCTCCTAGTCGTTGGAGTGGCCTGCATCACACACATCTCTTCTACGGAGTAATATGGTCCTCCATTCCACTCGTTTTAGAGCTAACTGTTTTACTGCGTCTCTGCTGATGTTATCGACATCTGTAAAGTCAGCCGCCTCCTCGAGTACACAGGCCATCCAGCCTTTGCGGGGTCGTCCTCTCAGTCTCTTTCCATAGTTTGGTTTCCAATCCTGTAAAAAATTGGGAAACCGTGTCTCTGGCATTCTGACAACGTGTCTGTTTAACCACCTTAGTCTAGCCGAACCGATGAAAGTTTCAATAGACTTAATCCCAGCACACCTGAAAACTTTTTCAATGGTAACATTCAATAATAATAAAATATTACATTGTATTATAGCTTTTGATCCATAATAAGATTGCAGTTGAAACTGCATGAAAAATTTGGAGAAAGTACTCTTGCCACATTTGAAGTTTTGCGAATCTCACATGGCATCTAGAGGGTTGCAAAAACTAGATGTGGTCATGAAACGGATTAACCTCTAATTATCTCCAAGTGTGACATATTTCGAGCTCATGTTGCAGGCCCCGGACCGCGCTATTTCTTGATTTCTTGTGTAATTTTGTTCTGTAATTTTTAAAATATCTCATTTGTTTGGCACTCCTGAGCATACATACAATAAAAATCTTGCATAGCTGTTCGGCAAATTCCTTTAAAATTAAATTCTTTAACAGCTCGCACTTTCGAATCGGTTTATTGAAGCGCAGAAATATGTTTCTCGTTAATCAATCTATACTTATAGTATTATTATAAATCTTGACGAAAATATGTATTTTATTTTTTCTACCCAAGCACTCACAATGACGTATATCATATCAGCATTTCTAGGTTTATAGATATAATCATCACGATTAACGCTTTGATTTTTCTTCCTTTACTTTGCTGTCCCACCCACCGAACTGTTTAGTTTTGTTGTTACTGTGATAGGCGCAGCTGCACATTCCTTTAACCTGATTTACTCCATTTCATAACCCCCTTCACATCTGTTAGCAGTCTGCTTCCTGGTTCCCGTTTACACTGCTGTAATTAACGAGAAATCAACAAGCCGTTATACTGTCATGCTTCACCACATCTTTCCCTCTGAACCTCGGCAGAAGCAGGCTTGATTCTGAGCTGCAGTCACAGGTTAGCTATTTATTTGTATTAATTGGTAAATATTTTTACTGTCAAATGTTAGTTATTAAGAAGAAGCCAGAGTCGTAGAGTTTGGCGTGTTGTGAGTTAAAATTCGATAGGTTTTCTTTGATCGGCTAAGATCGGTTGACCACGCACAATTTTACAAAAACTATACATAATTTGATTCTGCTTGCAAACCTATTTTAGTGATCACGTCACACATCAAAATACCAAATTATTTTTCTTCTGTAAGTATGTTAACTTCCAGAGTACCGAAAGTTTTATTTGAATGAGTACTCTTCTTCTTGTCACCCTTGGCTTCATCTTTCTCCTCTTACCTGGAGACTTGTTAGCCCAGTTCAGTTTCACAGAGAACGTACCAGTCTACCATCTAGGTTATCACCAGCAGGTTTGACATCTTCCTTTATAATTCAGTTTCATATTTGGGTTTCTATATCGCGTGACATGAATGGAACTTTATCATCGAGTTTGTCTGGTATTGAAATACCAATTTGTCCCTATTAACAATGAAACATCGTCTCGAAATATTTGATTGGATAAGTAAGAAAATCCACTTTGTTTGAGTTTCAAACCTGACATCGATTCAAACTTTCCTACAAACTAACCTAATAACAGTACAACCAGTAATTTGCAAATGTTTCAGCCAAGTTTCAACTACCAGTACCACTCTTGTAGCTTCGCGACTAGTGGCTGGTCGGAGTGGATGCCGAAAAGTTGCAACAGATGTGGACAATCTCGACACCGGTGTCTTAATATTTCTTTATATGCCACTTTAATTTGTTATATAAATAATTATATATTATGTTATTTTACATTACCTTGTTTATTACATGTTCACTGGCTCCGTGCATATTTTACCGCCAAATTTCTTATAAAATGCCACATATGGAACACATTAAACATCGCCATTACCGCGTCGCAACTGTAACTTCTAATTTGTGTCCGAGTTAATTCAGTTGAAATGACAGATTAATTTCACATTTATTCAGTCTTGGAGTAATTATTGAATTCTATTTTCGACTGATAATATTTTAATTTAGGCGCTGGGCCAATGGCCATCAATGTCTATATTAATAAATTATATTAACCCGTTGAGGCTGGAGCTTTTCAATTCTGCGGGCAAATTATAATATAAATATTCATTATAAATAAATTCTTAATTACATTCTATTAATCAGCTCAATTAACAGCCAATTCGTAAATTATCGCTCAATTAACAGCTATAATATCCACATTACCTACCCTCCCTCAGATATTGTCTAGGTGCTTACAACGGTTGCGGTGAGTGGTACTGTATTGGTAACAAATTGGATTACTGCCAGATTCCCTGCCCCAGACTCCGAACAACGGACCCACGTGTTAAAGTAGACCCCCCGCGTCATAGCAAGGCGTGTGGAGCACGTGTAACATTTTTGTGTCCGGAATGTTACTCTCCATCAGGAGGGAGTGTGTCGAGTGAATGTCTACCGAACAGCACGTGGTCACATTCAGACCCTACTTGTTCTCCTGTGTCCTGCTCCAAACCTTTCCAGATTAATAACGGGTAGGTAAAAGATCTATCAGTTTCATCTGATGACAGATACAGTAAAACACTAATTTACCATGCGAACCCAAATTTGCTGCGGCTTTCCAAAAACGGGGTTTACTGTATTTATAAATCGTACGAGAATCTACATTCTACATTCTTTTTCTGTACCGACCACCGACGGGCAGGGGCATATTCTTGATTCTGACCTTTTTCTATTTTAAAAAGAAGCACCGGCCGACTTTTAATTCCCTTACAATCTCTTTTACAGGTATGTTAGGTGGGGAGCAAACTGTGGAGATACCGCAGTTTATAAATGTTATTACGGCTACGAACTTATAGGTAAGGAAATCGCTTAACTAATTGGAAGATTGGAGAAGAGTTAATTACAACGAATTGTATCTCTTCGTTTTAAACACTATTATCAACCTGGAGGGGATTATTTAAAACATATAAGTGATTCGAAAATTATTATCAACTGTGGTACTTTGATGAGGTTTGGCCATGGTTATCCCACATCAATTAGACCGCCCTACTTATACTGTAGATTCCAATGTAATAATATCCAACACTCCGTCAGGGGTAGCAGAGTTAAGGTGTAGTGATAGAGGATATTGGGACCCCCCAGATGCACCTATGTGTATCCCAGTGAAGTGTCCTCACCTCACCAGACCTGAGAATGGGATTATAATCATGCTGATCCGATCTTTCAGAGCTAGAGCTTACTTCAGGTACCTGCCTTATACGAGTTATCTGTCAAGTTAACTGAGCGATTTCCTCTAAAAACTTCCTTTTTTGTTTATAGTTTGGTCAATTATGGAGAATATGAGCCAATCACCTGCATTTCATAGTAGAGGCTGCACATTTTTTGGGGACTCTAAAAGTTATATAGATATTATAGAACTGAATAAAATTCGGAGCCCAATATAATAATTCAGACTAGGAAAATAAAATTGGCCAAGCCCTTTTGTGTGATGTTCTTAATATAAAACTTTTATTTCAGCCTCAAATTTTTGTGAAACTTGATTCTGGCATAGCAGTGCAGCAGCGCCCATATTTGAGCCCGATTTGGCCGAGTTTGGCTAAATCACCTTAACATCCACAAAACCCATATGTCCATTATGAATTTTCATCCAGATTGGACAAAAAATGACTAAGTTATGAGCCAAAAACCATATGCCCATATTTGGGCATACGCACCAAATTTTTGACACTTTCAACTGCACTACTTACTTTCAACACTACTATATAACAAATAATTTGAGATCATGAATACGATGTTGCTTAATATTTATAGAAATGTGGAAATTACGACCAAAAGACCACTAAAATGAAGAAAACTGCCCATATCTCAGTTTGCGATTTTCGCGAAAGGGACTTCATCAAAAAGCCTGAGGCTTTTTCATTTTTCAACACGTAGAAATCCTAAAATCTGGGTTTTGGTCGGTTGGGGTCCGGGACCCCCTCAAAAGTTTGGTCACAGGTCCTAATTCGTTGGCCAACTGCTATGTCAGAATCAAGTTTCACAAAAAATGTCAGGCTGAACCCCCCTTAACTGACATAGACTATAACCAATTGTAAACGCCTCGGTTTTGCAGGTGTAGAATGGGCTACGAACTACACGGACCTCGCTCCATCAGATGCAGTGCCTCTGGTTCCTGGTCTCCGGCCCCACCTGCATGTATCAGGACTTATTCTAGTAACTCACCGGGATAACATCTTGGCTGTTAGGTTTTCAAAATGTTGGCATTGGACTTAATTTTTTGTAAATAACTAAAAACTATAAACATTTCTAACCTAGTTAAAATGAAGTATGAATGTAACGAATTGGCGGATTACATGGCGTTAAAATGATGAATGTAAATAAGTGTGAAATTGAAGGGAACAAACTGATTTTATCGTCATCGAAGCAGAATATTTTATTTTTAAATAATTGAATTCGATAAATTTAAAACCACGAAGTACACTAGTCGGGGGTTGAGAAAACTATTTTAAATTTATATACTATATATAGCCGATCTGTTTTATCTTAAGTTTAAGTTATTTGATAGTGATGTTGTTATTTCAGTGATTAAAATAAAGAATGCGTACTTCAACAATTCATATACTTTGCGTTTTAATTGTGAGCATCTAACAACCAACTTATCACGATTGAAACCCGTAATTTACTGCCCTATAAGATTACAAGATCAAACCAAGCAGTGGTGTAACGAAGGGCCCCGCCGTGCGGGGGAGGGGGCGCAATCTTAGGGGGGGGGGGGGGGGGGGGGGCGCCAAATTGTCGTTTGAATGTGGGACAATTTGGAAAAACTTTACTATGGTACTAGCAAAACTGCGTGTTTAGCTCTAGAAACACACTTTTTTAGAGATTTTACCGGCGTATCCTGTAAAATCATCTAATTCGTTAAATTTTAGGGAGGGGCGCCAACACTAACAGGGGAGGGGGCGCTTTTTCAGCGGGGGGCGCCAACACTAACAGCAACGTTACGCCACTGAAACCAAGCCAAGTATCTTTATTTTGTCTTAGCGGCACAATGTATATAGTTAAACCTGCGCCAATTCTGATGTGAAGTACTGACGGTAACAATTCATCAATTAGTAGTTACCAGTGATCTCCACCGTCTAATGTACACTCTCCCTTTTCCTCAGTCTAATATCCTCGGTTCCGTACAACTACACTGCCTTTATTTGTGGCATATTGGACACTTTTCACAAGTTTCAGGAGTATTAACTGGTGCCTAAACACTATTTGTAATCGGTTTTCCGTCCTTCTTTACTTTAATCCGATCCCTCCCTTCTCTCCTTCTTTACTTTTCTCCGATCCCTCCTTCTCTCCTTCTTAATCTTTACTTTTCTCCGATCCCTCCTTCTCTCTTTCTTTACTTTGCTCCGATCCCACCTTCTCTCTTTCTTTACTTTTCTCCGATCCCTCCTTCTCTCCTTCATTACATTTCTCCGATCCCTCCTTCTCTCCTTCTTTACTTTTCTCCGATCCCTCCTTCTCTCCTTCTTTACTTTTCTCCGATCCCTCCTTCTCTTTTTCTTTACTTTTCTCCGATCCCTCCTTCTCTCTTTCTTTACTTTGTTCCGATCCCTCCTTCTCTCCTCCTTTACTTTTCTCCGATCCCTCCCTTCTCTTTCTTTACTTTTCTCCGATCCTTCCATTCTCTCTTTCTTTACTTTTCTCCGATCCCTCCTTCTCTGATCCCTATTTTCTTGCCTTGCTTGATTTTGTACAATACCTTACTCGGGATTATTATAACCGGGATAAAGTGGTGGGTTTTGGAAGATTCCGCCATATTTTTCCCGGTCAAAAATTTTACCAGTCATAAAAAAACCCGCCGACTCAGATTATGGGGTTCCAAGGGGGTGGTGATCATCATATTTTACCTGAAGTCTCATATGTGCTAGAGAAGACTTTTGAAGCAGTGGATGGAGGGCTGTAACTTTATTGGCGGTTGCTACCATAATTTCGTTATAAAATTCACAATTTGGTTATAGAAATCAGATTTCAGGGTGGACCGTGATTCTCACTTTTCTTGCCCATAAAGTGAGTAGACTGTGCCACTATTTCATGGTCCACGGTGGATTGATTACTGGAGCAGTTGAAGATGCAAAGCCAAGACGTTCCCCAATACCAAGCGGTGGGCAGGAAATTAAGCTCCGGCTGACCTTCAGAGCAGTAGCCCCATTAGCGGACAAAATGAAAGTCTTGTTAAAACAACAATACAACTTCGAATTTGACGGTCAGCAGCAGGGGGATATCAATAATGATAATGGAGGGGACATTAGCGATAATGAGAATGAGAATACGCTTTAATGAAGATTTGACTTATTATTGCTATAGATTTATTTTCCTTTAAATACTAGACGTGTCTTTTTTTCTATTTCTGAGTAATATCAGTAACTGTAAATTGAAATAACAGAAATTTCGGTTGAAAATTTGTTGACCTCTGAAAAAAAACTTGAAAGGTCGGCCACCGGTAAATACATGACCGGGATAATTTGGCGGGTTTTGGGAAATTCCGCCATATTTTTACCGGTTATTAATTTTCCCAGTCATAAATTAACCCGCTATAATATTCCCGAGTAAGGTATGCAGTTAAGATTTAAGTTCGTTACATATAGCTAAGGAGGTAAACTCTGCGTGTTATATCAATTATATGCTGTTGCTTGATTAGCTTAGGTTTTGGAAAGTTGTTAACGCTCGCACACTCATTTAGAAATTTAAATATTATAATAACAATTACCAGGCATTATTAACTAGAATTGAATCATTTTTATTCGCTAGGCTAGCACTTTTTGTTAAACGATGATTTGAACATTAAACGTTTAATTCATATTATCTTGCCAATGTTATTCTGGTGCCGCTCCATGTGCCGCATTCAGTGTGCAGATTGACGGTATTGTGCATTATCCTGATGTCGACATTTGTTCATGTTGTGGATCATGATTCGTGGAATACATTTTCTTCCTCTCGAAAAACATGTATTCATATGTATTGTCTCCAATTAGCTTTATTTTAAGTCCTTCTACTTCAATAAATACGCCGTTTGAAGATATCAGTAAAATAGTTTTTCTTGGATTTGTTTTATAAGTAAAAGTATAAAAGGTATTCTTCAAGATTTAACTGAAGGATATGACTGTATGGCCTCGCCCTGGGGCAAACCAAGAAGGTGGGACTTAGGCTCTCAGAACTTAATTCATCGAGGAACAGGTATATTGTATAAAATGATTTGCAAACTATAAACTTATAAAACACATTTCTTTTGCATTAGCTATCCTCGGTTTTTTGCGGCTAATTATTGCATAACTTATTTTACTAATTTGTTAAGGAATTTCATCATTCATCGGGAAGGGTTCTGGTTTACGGAACACTGAGATAAAGAAGATTCCCAGATATGGACCTGCTGACTGGAAGAAGTCTTCCTCTTCCTCGCCATCATCGTACGTGTTTTAACATCATTACAACTGCGATACAGTGATCATTAGCCACAATGTAATGATAGGTTTCAATTTGCTAGATTCTCAGCCTTCCATAAAAATGCATATCAATAATTATTTAGATCGAAATACATTTGTTTTCATTAGTTTTATATCAAAATAATTTTAGTGTAACTTTGGGTGGCTAAAATGTAACGCTTGATTTTCGTAAATGATAATCAATTGAGTGTTCAAATACGATTGATTGAAATGGTGTAATTTTCAGGCACTATGGCACCCTGCCGCGGGTCAGCAGAAGAGCCTCTGTTATGGCACCTGGAACCAGGGCTATTCTTGCTCGTTCAAATAGTTCCAACAGTACAGACAACATCTCCAGATCCAAAAGTTTCGCTGCTAACTCTCACAGGGAATTACCAAGATCCAGCTCTACTACGTTAACTCCAGGCAGTGTTGAGAAGAGTCCAATGACATCTCAGGGTTCATTCAGGAAAAAAAGTATTAGGAAGTCATACAGTACGGCTACATTGCCAAGAAATGCGAGGTTATCTCGTAATGAACCAGCAAATTCTGCTGTTAGGTACACGGATTCCCGGGAGAAAAGATCAAATTCACTGAAACGATCTTCTTCCAATGACTTTTCTTTGCGATTATCACCAGTGTCCAGTAGATCTCCATCCAGAGAATCCAAACATGAAATATCAAATGCTACAATAAGACGATCTATGGAGACCCGGGAAAAGCATCGAGATAGACCAGACAACGTCCTTCAGACCAGAAAAGGTCCTCCGATATCCAAACGAAACATGAACGTTCGTGCAAATCAAGTTATAAGATCCAGCTCACAATCTGCAATATCAAAATCTGGGGGAAGAAAAGTGAGTCGCTCTAAATCTATGGGAGTTATAAGTGGAAATCACGGACCTCACTCTCAGGGAAAAGATAAGACACAACTACATCGACTGAGTGATAGCGATAATGAAACACAGAACTCCTTACAGAACCACGGTCATCAGAGTCCAAATGGACGAAACAAATCAAAGTACTCTCTTCGGAGACAAAGTGAAAGCGACAGTTGTAGCGAACCTTCGGTATTATTTACGAGACATGACTATCTGAGAAAATCTGCTAGAGGACGATTACAAGCTCAAGAAAATTCACGAAATCTGAAGAAATCTCCAGATATCAAAGTTGAACGGACTCGTGGGAAGGAAAATATAAAGAGTGTTGTACCATATCAGGAGAGAAACTCGCCCATGCGGAGGGGCAGGGAGCCAAATAATTTCCAGAACATTAGTCACAGGTTAGTCTTACTTAGATGAGATTCTTATCTCAATATCAAATGACTTACGCAGTGATTATGTACTTGTAACTTGACATAGTTAAATTCTAAATGTATTACGTATACACTATTAGTGTATAAGTTGAAGCTTGTTATCAAGTTCCATATCTCTAAGAAAACTTTAAAAATCAGGTACAAAATAGATAGTGAGGATGGTGCTGATGATACCTTATTCGATTGTACACAGATCAGTTCCGAATCAGCTCTGATCAGTTCTGAATCAGAGTTTGAGGTCATGAGACCCGAAAAGAATATTGTCATAACTGAGAAGCCCTCATTTCGGGAAATAAGGTATGGAGTATTTAAAAAGAATCAAGACTAATTCTCAGTGGTGTTGGTAATATTATCCATCACCCTTACCTGCTTATAATACACTTTATAATACACATTACAATGCCCCGTAATATCGGGCCATAGCACCATTTTTAACCAGTTTTAAATTTTCAGGAATCGAATTAGGTCACGAGATCCTAGAGATATAAAATTTCCTCGAGCAAGATCAATAAGTCCGGGTCGAAGACATTGTCTAGTTCAACTTCACCAGATAACTTTCAACCTGGAGAGACCACCAACTTGCATGGAATTAGCGGACGTAAGTTACAATTATTCATTATGTTTTGATATCAGTAATATTCACCTTCAATACAATACAGTTTAGTTCTTATGCGGCTAACTTTCTAACCGATGTTTTTGCAGTTCTATAAAAATCCTGTGATGACTCCGAAGTTCAAAAATAAGCTAAAATCTTCAGTAAGTAACCTCGTAATAAAAATGGGTTCAGCTTCAATGCTTCAATAATTGGATCGGATACTTTCAGAGATTTGTTTATGTACTTTTTCACTGGGAGATGCGATGATAGAATACATAATATGGCTAAAATAATGTTGTTAATTTCAGTGGCATTCTCCGAAGTTGAAAACGAACACAAAGAAAGGAAATCGTAAAAAAACAAGTAACAAATACTCATCTTCTGGTCGGCATCGTATTTCCTCATCAAGTGATGAAGCAAGCATGATATCCTTCAGGGAGTATGAAAGAAGGGTAACAACAAATCGAACATCAGATTCAGATATGGAGTCAAATACGATCGGGATCAATCCTGGTTATCGTGCGAAATTGCCAAAAAAATGTATCTTTGCTTCAAAGTATCAAACTAAGACAACTGTTTCTTCTGAATCTGGTTCACAAAATGATACTCAGTCCAATACAGAGTCAAAGTCATCACTTGGTGCTGATTCTATGGCTAAGATTCCAGAAATGGTTTATTGTGATGCTGATCTAGGAAATCGCAACGAATTTATTGAAGAAAACTCTGAGATACAAACGAAGGAAAGACCAGGGACTTCTAATAATAAGCTACAAACGAACATAGATGCACCAGAACCTTTTAAAGGTGGCCTTAATGAGGAGGAAGTGATTGCTGAGCTACAATTTATTATTGAGCAGGAAGAGATTGATCTAGAAAACACTACATCATCAATCAGTATGAGCTCTATAAAAGAGGAGCCCTTAGACCTCAAACAATTTGAGTCTCACGAGAAATTGTTGTCTGATAAAGATCTGAACAGTGAAATCAAACTTCTTACTAATTCTTTAAGTGAGGATTCAGACCCACTAAAGATTGACGATGATGCTCTATTCTCGCGAACAAAATCGTTTAGTTTCATGTCTTCCACTCGTCAAGAAGACGAAAGTGTTGAGCATGCTGTAGATAAGGTATGTCTTTCATCAGAAAAAGAAACAAACGAATCTTGTGGAGTAGCTGTTGTTGACAAATTTTCGGGATTTTCCCGCGAATTAATAAAAGAGAAGCCTCATGTTGGTATCAAAACAAAAAACATTCCCTCAAAGTCTGAAAAAGTTAAATTCGAATCGACTGTGTTGAATTCTGAGGGGAACAAACTTTCTAAAAATAACAATTCTGTCTTTGCTACTACCGATACAGCTAAGAACCCAGCGTTCGTAGAAGAATTGGAACTTCCAAAACATGGTCCACTTCTGGAGTCAGAGAAAGTTGTATCTGAGTCAGATGTAATTAACTCTGAGGAAAAAGAGATTTTTGAAAACAACAGTTCTATTTCAACTTCTTCCGACAAAACTGACAGTTCAATGAACGAAGAAGAAACCCCAGAACCTGTTCGAACGTTCACACCGCGACCTAGATCACCTCTTGGTTTCATCAGGCCAATCAGAACCAGCTTCTCTGCAAACACCCTTGCCTACCTTCAAAATAAAAAAGTAAATATAACCTCTCCAACCGATGGACTTAATGCAAAGATAGGAGCCATATTCGAGAGGTCAAGGCCCTTTGATTTTTTTAGTTACGTCACAGATTCAGAAACATCCCCAACAGATTCAGAAGCCGACGTGAGTAACACTGTGCAACCAAGCACAAACATATCTCCACTTTATGATGGCCCTAACATATTTACCTTAACTAATTTGTCTACGGATAATGTGTTAGAACCTCAAGACTCACTAGTTGACTCACCTGAGGTAGTGGATACCTCTGGGCTGCTCCCGGATCAGAGGCCATATTACAAGACTGTTGTGATAGACCCTCTGTCACCTGATACTTCTGCTACTGGATCCTCCTCTGAGGACACCTCGAACTCGTCTCAATCAGAGAGTTTCACTGTTTCGAATACCAGTGAGTCATTTCATCAGTGAATTATTTCTGTTTTTAGTAAAAGAATTGTGATCTAGCCTTATCAATCCTTCAATCTGTATTTACGTTTGGTATGTGATGTTTAATTACTGTTTTTTGAAAAATGAATATCTAGAACAGCATTTATGCTGTGGTGATAACCACCGTGGTATTAATTTTGTAAATGAAATGTTGAAACCTACGATGACTATAACTATCAGTTTGATTAAAATTTAACTTTAATATATACAATTTAACAGTTGTTCTTTGTTGATATCTGGGTTAAAGGAAAATTTAGGATAAATGCTTATATAACCGTACCCCGGTTTATCGTACCTCGTGTCTATATATTGTAGTTTTATATCACGCGACGCGTGTTTTATTTTATGCAACCCGCATTTCACAAACTTGCCGATTTGACATATTTGATGAACCAGCTTAACCGTTTGGCTGCATATTTCCGAGGAGGGTTACATAGAGATCACTCCTAGTTCCTGAATGTCTATATACTTCTCCGGGAGCCGTCTGGATAGTGACTGTGTAAACTGAAATGGAACCCAGTTTATATCGTTACTAAGTTAAGGTCATGTTGTCGATAATTCCCTTGTAAAAGTGAGATTTGGAGATGTGACTTTACCGACTAAGTCGTCCACTCTATTACTATAGTCGACACATGTTGCGAAACTTCGATCTAGCAGTCACGATCTGAGGATTGAGAAAGGTCGCTACATGCACTGGAGATCGCTACAACACAGCACTGAAAACATGTCGCTTTTGCTGCTCCTCAGACACCGTCGTCATGCGGTTCTTCGAAGAACTACCATTCTTTGAAACACCTATCCTTGAAACCGAGGACCACGTCATAAATGAATGCCCCAGCTACAACTCCATCCGGTCCAACCTCTCAGACAACCTTAAAAGCCTCATAATGCTCAAAGAATATGTAGCCATCATGAACTCATTCCATGCAACAGAATTTGGAAAGTACCTCACAGAATCCTTTCACCTTCGACATCCTCCTGAAAAGAAGTCCTAGTAATTACCTCCCGTCTCCTACTCATCGTCATTAACTCATCTCCATGACTTTTTTACTCGTATTTTAATTATTATATTCGATTTTTCTTTCGTGAAATTGTAACGCGGTTAATTTTTAAGAATTTATTTTTATAGCATTCTCTCAATCCAGCAGCTTTGAGTATGGATAGATTGTTACCCCAATGATTTCTGATGTCATTTTATTGAATGATGATGCAGACAACTCATTAATTAAAAAGTACTTACAGTATCAATACGAGGATAAGGGTCACACTCTGCGGCCTCGTCTGACCCGTCTAATGTAAAGTTGACACCACATCTCCAATCATCTCTCCATTTCTTATCTCTTCCAGCTGCTGGTCTCCCTAAGGTGCCGCCCTCCCGCATAGCGGGGGTAGCGGGGGTGGCGGTCGTTTCGCCACTGAGTCCTGGCAATTGCAAATAATCAATTTGTTAATGTATATTCGCGCTCACCGTACTGATTTTTGATCATTTTTGTGAATTTGAACTGCAATTTTTATTTTTATTTATTTTATTTTTATTTATTTGGCTGAATTGCAAAACAAAACTAAAAACTAAATATAATGCTTACCGGAGACTGCGAAATTTCCAAAAAGAAGATTTCCAAGTATGATGAGTATTATTGACCGGACCATTTATTCAACTAATTTCCATTTATAATTTCAAATTTGATAGTTGGGAACGAAGTGAGACTCTCCACTCAGTGTTTAGTTTGTTTTAAACAGTAAGTGCAGACTCTCACTTCGTCCCCAACTATATCAAATTATATGATCGACCCACTCATAAGAGCGAAAAGAGATTACTATTAATTTCAATTTATAACTATTTAATCTAAAAGACGTTTCACTCAATCCAACTTCAGCATTCAATAAACTAGTTTGGAACAGAGGTCATTGTGTTAGTTTATGGCAAATCGAGGAAAAATGCCTAGACTGGGACTCGTTATATGTCTTTAAAAAAAGAAAAAAAAGCGATTAGAAAAGTAAAATCGAATAAAGAGTCGTTCACATATTATTACGCAATCAATTTTGGACAATTTTTAACCGCCACCCTCCGTAATCAGATTTACACATAGCTATCGTGTCAAATTACACTAGCGGAATAATTTGGAAACCCCCCTGATCCCCTCGGCTGATTACTGCTATTTTGTACACTTCGCAAGGAATGTGACAAACAATATGAATAATTTATAGAGGTCCTTATCACCATAATTTCAATATTTAAGAATTGGATCAGTTTGGCATCTGGTATTCAATTGACAATGACTAAATTACCGATTCTAGTTCTTTGTCAATAAAAATTAAAATGAGCAACGCATTTGGCAAACGAAGAGGTTGTCTTTACCGTGATTAGCTGAATTGAGTAGGCCAGAGAAACGACTCACAAGAATTATAATAATAGAGGTCCTTACTACCATAATTTCAATGTCAAGGATCAATTGGCCCAGCTTGGCAACTGACAATGGCTAGATTGCCTAGTTGTCGTGTCAATTAGTTCTTTGTCAATAAAATGAGCACCGTATTTGGCAGACGAAGAGGCAATCTCTACCGCTACGGTAATTAGCTGAATTGAGTGGGACCTGATCATGATAATAGTGGTCTACTTTACAGGTCTGATCCGTCAAATCTGAAGTAGGCCGGATGACGTTGTGTTTTGTGACTCGTCTGATCAAAGACGTTATTGAAAGTGTTACGGAAACTCGAATGTATGAAATGATGTACTTAGTACATGGTACAGCTTCTGAGCTTCAGCAGATCACTCGACCAACTGCAATATGCCGCATCACAATTCACAGCTAACAGTGATAGGTATGCAAAAATATGTGAAACCTGAGCTTCAATTACAATTCTGAGTATTGGTCATAGTTCCCACGTGACCTTCCACTAGGAATATTTTGTCTTTTGCCTAATATATAATGCCTTAGGTTATATAAATGTTCTCAAGACATTATGATAGCTTAGTTTACTTTACTCTTTCCTATTTTTGTTTGTGAAGCTATCAGGAATGTTTTTCGCAGCTCAACCACTCATCACCGACATTGTTAACTCTACCGGTCACTCTACCCTGGAGACCTCGACCAACATATTTCTTCAGTACTTCCTTCCAACAATAACCGCCATAAACATCCCTCTGAGTCTAACCAACCTCTTCGTCTTCCTCAAGACTGGCTTCCTCAATTCTCCCTCCGCCCTCATCTACTTCAACATTGTCATCGTGGACCTATTGAACGCTGCAGTCGGTATAAAGATCTCGGTAAACTTGTGGAACGACACGGATCATCGTTCCGTTGAATTTTGGGGGAAGAATGGGCATGAGTTTGGGAGATATGTTAACAACTTCACCTTTGACGCAAACATTGTGCTGGTTTTTGGTCTTTGTCTGATGACGATCTTGTGGATTGAGCTGTCTGCTCTGCATGTGCTAAGGAAACTCAAGTTAGTTTCCCGGGTGATTGTGACCTTGGCTTATTTCTACGGAGGACTTTCTGTTCTCTACAGGTACCTTCTTGGAAAACATTCAGAACCTAGGCGGCTTTTTCAAGCTACTGGGGTCGAAGCTAAGGACATATTTGAGTGTTTATTGATCTTTTCAATTCTTTGCCTGTCCATTTACTCCCAAGCTAGAATCTGGCTAAACAAATATAAGATTAACTTCCCAATATTCTTAGCTGCAAGTAGAGCCTGCCTCATTATCACATTAAACGTGGTAATTTCTTACTCTTATTTTGTTGTGACAGTTGCCACGAGAGTGTACTTCGAGGGTCCCTGGAATAATACATTCACATGCCCTGGAAGTGGAGATGAGATCGGAGAAGACAGAGAAGATGAACATTGGACTTTTACTAACCTCCTTCTTTGTGATGAACTGTATCTCAGCACTACATTCATGTGTTTGCAGTGCACTGTAAACAGCTGCATTCTTCTCTTTCAGAGAAACACCAGGACTTTTTTGAGGTTGAAAGTTAAAACGTTCGTGATGGATGTGAAGATATTTTGGGGGGAGTTTCGTGGTGAAGATCCGGAGTATGAGTATCTGTGGACATAGATAAACACGGGGGGGGGGGGGGGGGGGGGGGTTACAAACCATAGATAAAGTTCGTGCAAACCATTTCAGTTCGTGACACAAGTTTCTTACATTGTATGACTGTATGTACTATTTATAAATATATTTGGTAACGGAATGGTTTTTTTTTGAAGATTGAGTTTGATTAATTTTGATGATATGACATTATTTTTTGTGTAAAATATATTTGATTTCTGTAAAAATTGATATCATTTTCAACTTATCACTTTCAACTTCTTCAAATTTTTGTCAACTCTACAGTATTATATAATTGATATTTTGGGACAAAGTGAGAGACTCTCACTTTGTCCCAAAACGTCAATTATATGATCGACCCACTCAAAAGAGCGAAAACAAATGATAATCTACAGTATTACGATAAAAATAAAACACGATTAAATTAATAAATGCATTAAATGCTGCAAAAGAAAAGAAAGGGAAAAAAGCAATTATAAATAGAACTTATACATTATAAAAGCCAGAAGTCCGAGAAAGTTTGCTATAAATTCTCCTTTTACTAAATACCCGTCGATTAAATAAACCCTGTCCATTATCAATTACCATTAATATTTTAGTATACTCGATAATCAATTGTGTGGTATTGATTATCAATATTAAAAATGTGACCATTCCTATAGACCTGTATTTGGGTTTGGTGTAAGTATAGTTCAGTTGTTGATGGTAAATTCCTGCTAACAGGGAAACGGTGTAAATTTAAGTGATCACCGCAATTGATGATTCAGGCGATCTGTGTCACAGTTACAGAAGATAACGGTAAGTTAATATGAACCAAGTCATCAACCTAATAAATGGATAGCCCGTATGTGTGATATGCACACATCTGACATCACACATACGGGTATAAGTTGGTATATTGTCCCTGTAATTACCTGTGGACCGATATCTGAGTTAATGAGTTAATGAGTGACAATGATTTATATCTGTATTATAAACATAAAACGTTGTAATCATTGTAATCATTGTCATCATATTGCAGTTATTTTGATCATTGCAATCATATAACATTGACAACAGCTGAACAGCCATGCATTATATAAAGATACAAAATATATGAGTTGGTTATGATAAAGAATGTTAGGTATTTAGAGTGTGTGTTTAGAGACCTGGAAGGAATGAGAGTGTGATCTGTAACAAACGTTGTGTAATAATAACCATCTCCATGTGTACTTTTTGTAAAACACATCTCAGACGCATAAGCCATTGAGCCGTCAAACTTAAATTACTAAACCGAACCTTGTGGCTGTGAGTGAATCACAATACCTGTTATTTAATGTTATAGTGTAATCTGGCAAAAGTACTACAGGGTGGAAAAGATCAATACCTGTTATAACTGATATCAGTGTCATAGTGCTGGGAGGGGATCTTTTTGGTATTACCAGGGTCGCTATCCCATCTTCGTACCTCAGCTCATGATAAAAACCGTTAAAGGTGGTACCCAGGATTATGCCATTGTCTCTGAGTCCCCAACTACCGTGTCTGTCACCATTGTTCCACTTTACAGCCCCGTCACCAAGCAACTCAAGGACCCCGTTATTAGTTCTACCATCATGAGCCCAGTTCCATGTACTTGTACTGTTTTCCTTTATTGGAAATGGGGATCCTACTAGGTAAGCTGTTAATAGTCGATTAAATGAAATATTCTCCAACACAGAAATTATTATATTATTGTAAGCGAATAATGACCAAAAATGAAGTGAATTGTTATGAGGGTGAAACCGAGTGTAACTTCCTTTTTTAAACCGGAAAGTAATCAAAAGTGTGTTAATATCTAGCTAAAATCTATCTTACTATTGACCGCAGCACAGTTAGATATTCCACAATATTTCCATCTTGGTTCTTTCCCTTGTGAGTTGTAACACCATGGCCCGCCTTTCTCATGGTCTGGGTTCCTACAGAAGTTGTGATCTCCCAGCCCAGCGTCGGGGTGACTGAGTGAGCAATCAGTAGAAAATATGAGGATAATCATTAAATTTAATGAATATAATGAATATTATCAATCAACTGGTCTAAGTTAGTAGTTAAATAAATTCCCTGAACAGTAAGGTTACTTTTGTGGAGTCCTAGTATGTGAATTTGGTGTCTGCAAGGTCCACTTCTGGCAGACAAGCCCACTTTCCGTTGTGTTCCTGAACCCTCTGTATTCGAGACCCTGGGGATCCTCCTTCCAGTTGAAACAATTTATGTTTTCTGCGAAGATACACATTATCCCTTATTAAGTTATTTGGCCAGTGATAATGAAATCGGTCGCTCGCTTAACTTTTCCCATTCATTTACAATTGTAATAGTTTAAGAAGAAATACCCGAAGGCAGCTGTATTCGGCAATAGAGATTCAATACACATCAGCTAATTGGACACTAACTACCACCCTTATCCCGAAATACTAGGTATCGACCCAAAAGCAACCCAAAGAGATGTTTACAGCATGTGATTAATGTAATTAATCGAAACTTATTATAATTCGTAAGCCGTGAATGAATGGGAAAAGCGAGCGACCGATTTCATTATCGGAATCATTTTGAATTTGCTGACGGTTATTCAAATTAATATCATTTCCTTTTGTTTGGGAAAGAGAAACACTGGCAGTGTTTCACTCTACCCATGATTATGGGTTTTGGTCAAATTACTATATTAGCTTATTAGTATACTAGGAAAAATATTATCACTCCTCAGTCACATTCTAGGGTCCAGAAAAAGAGTAGAACACTGATTAAGAAATCACAACAATTTTTCAGACTTTCTTGGAAATTTTTGGGCGGTCATGAGCGTAAATAATTATGTCCGTGAAAAATTTGATTTGATTTGTTAATTTTATAATTGCATTTTAACAATGTTGCTATACTCTCCTTCTCCTCCAGTTCAGTTGCTATCTGATATCTGAGTTAATCTTATCTTGATAGGAGGCACATGCTGAACAGCTATATAACAAATAACTTTCAAATCAAAACATGCACACATATACATATTATACAATGTATTGCAGATACCTTGAACTTGAACGTGAAAGGAATGCGGAAATAAGATATTATGATTTATACATGATGTAATGTTTTTTTCAAAACAGTGCTACTATTGAAACTCAAAACGTGGCTGAATATTGAAGAATGTACAACGGATACAGTGACTGATAGCTTGTGAGATATCTTACCATAGCTAAATAGCTTACCTATATCATCTGTTGATTGAGTTGGATCCTCTTGGTCCACCTCTCCAGGGATCTCCACTAAGCGATACTTCTCAGTAACTGTATCGGCGTGAAACTTAAAGCTCGCAAAATCAACATCCCACATGTTTGTACAAACGGTTGAGTCATCAACCGGGGCTTTAGAAAACTCAAAGTGCAACAGCGTAACTCCGTCACATGCCATTTTCAGATATGACTTCTGTATGATAAACTCCCATAGACCACTCTCACACTTGCCATCAACCAATGGCTGGTTGTCTTCAGTGCAGCCCCAGATCCAGTAGGTCATGGTGGTTGTGGTGACCTTGAACTCGGCTGTAGTTTGAGTCACCGAGTTAGTCAGCAGGACATCGATATTCCCCCCGGTGTCCGAGGACAGGACTTGCAGGTAGTGAGTGGTCAGGGGTGTTTTAGTTAATGTTACAGTATAGGTAACCTTATCTTGGACCACATTCCAGTCTGGAAATATGGAGAATTAGCTTTTTGAGCATAAACATTATTTGTGGTTGCTGTTTTTTGGTGAAAATAACTTTTTGAACCATGGAATTGAAATTTTAGATGGGCTGGTGGGGAATCAAACCGGAAATGGGAAAACATCATTGTACCTGCAGGGCTCCACGAAGTGTAAAACCAAGACTCCTTGTTAAATTCAGGTCCCATCATAATTAGCTTTATTTTGCTCAAATCTGTGTCTGAAGCCCACGTATTTTTGCACGAAATATCGTCGTCATTATTATCATCATCCGCCTCAAAATCCCAACGTACTTGCGGGATACCTTCCCGAGCGAGTACAAGAAAATCCTTGGTAACCGACAGTGTCCATTCGTGAGCCAATGTGTACCAATTACTTTCAACATTAATTTCTTTTTTCTTGCACTCAGAGAGTTTGCTGGTACCTTCACTCCATTCCACTCTACCCACTTTATTATCCCCATCAATGAACCTAATCTTTCTTGTCGTGTTGGTCCCCTTGAGTGGGGTGAATCGAAACTGTAGTGGCTGATCCTTGATGCCGTAAGGTGTACTTTTCTTAGTTGGAATTCTTTGCCAAAAATACCCTGAAATAGATTGCTTTCATAAAAGTTTAAGGCTGCGAAGCAACAGAGTGTGACTAGGCTTCATATATGTCATAAATAATACTGTATAATATTTTACCCCTCAGATCACGTTAAAAATATTACCTGCTCGGGGATAGGTAAGACACTGGTGTTCGACATACAACTGTTTCTGGACTCCAAGATCACAAGGGTCTCCAAGATCTTTAACAGTAGCCTCTATCTCACAACTCGTTTTGTCTGAGCACAAAGAGTGTATCTTTGTTTGAGCAGTTTGTGTCTCTGAGCAAACTTGTTCTGATGTGGAAGTCTTACTGCAAACCCCCTCTGTGCTAGCTCCCCAGGTTACTTTGTGTACTCTGATCATTTGTCCGGTAGGACAAGCTATAGATCCCCTTCTCCCTTCACATATCACAGTTTTTGTGTATGTTCCTGTTGAGAGATGTTGTTGAGTGATAAAACAATTGGATCGGGAAGTTGGTCGTTTAGCTCCGGACAGTCTATGCAACGTCTATCCAACGTCCGTGCAACAACAAAAGAACCGTCTATGCAACGTCTATGCAACGTCCCTGCACAATGAACACTCTATGCACACTCCCTGCACGGTCAGTCTATGCAACGTCTATGCAACGTCTATGCAACGTCCCTGCACAGTACCATATGAACACCGGCTACTAGCCGGCTACTAGCCGGCTAGTAGCCACTTTTGTAATAACAGCTCCTCAACTTCACATTAACAACCGGCTACTAACCGGCACTTGAAAAGTGGTCACTAGCCGGCTACTAACCGGCTACTAGCCGGCTAGTGACCACAAAGTGGCTACTAACCGGCTACTAAGCGGTCACTAGCCGGCTATTAGCCGAGCTCTAAAGCAGACCTATTAGTAGCCGGTTAGTAGCCACTTGGTGGTTACTAGCCGGTTAGTAGCCGGTTAGTAGCCGGCTAGTGACCGCTTTATAAGTGCCGGCTAGTAGCCGGTTTGGAACCGGCTACTAATAGGTCTGCTTTAGAGCTCGGCTAATAGCCGGCTAGTGACCGCTTAGTAGCCGGTTAGTAGCCACTTTGTGGTCACTAGCCGGCTAGTAGCCGGTTAGTAGCCGGCTAGTGACCACTTTTCAAGTGCCGGTTAGTAGCCGGTTGGTAATGTGAAGTTGAGGAGCTGTTATTACAAAAGTAGCCGGTGTTCATATGGTACTGTGCAGGGACGTTGCATAGACGTTGCATAGACGTTGCATAGACGTTGCATAGACTGACCGTGCAGGGAGTGTGCATAGAGTGTTCATTGTGCAGGGACGTTGCATAGACGTTGCATAGACGGTTCTTTTGTTGTTGCATGGACGTTGCATAGACGTTGCATAGACTGTCCGGAGCTAAACGACCAAGTTGCCATTGGATCAAATGATTTATTACTTTTGTAATGTAAGGTTTTTTTGCTGAAAGTGTGTGTTGCACGAGTGTTTCAAAATATGATCAAACATTGAAAGCCAAATTACCTAAACAAGTAGGGTTCCCGAAAACAGTAAAGGATGGATGATGACAGGAAAAGTAGAACATGTCCGCTCCCCCGCTCAGAACCCCCGGTTGACATGTTACAGTGACCCGGGAGTAGGCTGCTACTACAGTTCCACTAGATGGTATTACTGCTGTAGCTCCTGACACTGTTGGTATCGTGCAGACCTCTGAATTATCACGATGTTAATTTAATAGAAATACATTTAAAGCTTTAAGAACTGTTAATTGGAGAAGCCTACGTCTGAGATAAGACCTTCTGAGATAAGAACATCTATTATCGCATATAAACGTCTTAACCCTGAAGATGATCATGCTAAAAAGCTAAACCCACCTATACAGTCTGTCTGTGAGTCAGATCCAGTGGAAATAGTAGTTGTTTCATCACTGCAATCTGTGCAGGTCTCTGAGTTGGTTGTTGTGGAGTACTGGCCTACAGGGCAGGGTTTACACACCTCCCCCAAAATGTGAGTTCCGGTCGGACACCACAGTTCTGGAACCAACTGAAGACATTTGGATTTATTTGAAAGATCACGAAAAATTGCTTAAAACACGTAATAGCGGTGTTGAATGGGGTCTTTTATATAAGATGTGAGTATAATCGCTTCCGAGTAAAGATTTACCTGAACTATGAGCGTTTGGGGAATGGGATTGAATGATATCCCTACATCACTAACACTGTCATCCCAACCCTTTATCTCGGCTGCTAGGCTAGAGTCGGCAATTTCTATAACCTCGACTCCCATGATCTGAACTTTCAGGCCGTCCTCTGAGAAGAACAAGTCGACCGTATACAAACCATCTGAATCTGGAGATGGTATAGTCACGTCGGGTTTAAATGCTATTTTATGGTTGTTAGCAATGCTGTTGAACCCACTATTCTTCCAGTTTGTTCCATCCGTTTTAATAACGAATTGTGCTTCAAAATTTCCTCCCCACGGCGACTGCAATTTAAAGAATTTGAAAGAAAAATCTTGTATATCTTTCGTTGCAGGACTCATGACAAGTCTAATGTCGAAAGGGTAGTCTCCAGGTTTGTAACGATCATGTGTACTCGTCACTGTAGCTGGTGTAGTTGTCAACTCGTACCTTTCCTCGCTTACACTTACACCTGACATGGTTCTTTACAGAGGCACATATTAGGTGCGGTAAAAAAATCGAAATTATGCGGTACCGCACCCGACTATAAAGGTAAAATGTGCGGTAAGTTGCGGTAAATTTTTACCAATTATGCGGCAAATGTGCGGCGATTTTTTCGAAATTTGTGCGGGAATTGTGCGGTTTTCTTTTGCATTTTCTCAAGAACTTTGGAAATTCTAAACGTATAACCGCCGCTCTTATCAAAAATAGGTCTGTTTAAGTGTTACTGAGGGTGTAGTTCTTTACTAAGACCATGATTGAACCTATATTGAGATTCAGTTATCTGAGAACAGTGACTTAGAGTAATCAGATGATGTGGTGAAGTTACGAATGATAACTGATAAACTATAATCAAAGTATGGTAACGACGAGGGTTTCATAACGGCCTGGGTCACGGTCCCGAAAGGGCCTGGGTCACGGTCTTAAGGGCCTGGATCACGGTCCCGAAATGGCCTGGGTAACGGTCCCGAAAGGGCCTGGGTCACGGTCCCAAAAGGGCCTGGGTAACGGTCCCGAAAGGGCCTGGGTCACGGTCCCGAAAGGGCCTGGGTCACGGTCCCGAAAGGGCCTGTGTCACGTGGTAACTGGGTCACGTGGCCTAGGCATGAGTTCCAAAAGGGCCTGGGTCACGGTCCCGAAAGGGCCTGGGTCAGGGTCCCGAAAGGGCCTGTGTCACGTGGTAACTGGGTCACGTGGCCTAGGTATGAGTTCCAAAAGGGCCTGGGTCACGGTCCCGAAAGGGCCTGAATCACGGTCCTAAAAGGGCCTGGGTCAGGGTCCCGAAAGGGCCTGAGTCACGGTCCTAAAAGGGCCTGGGTCAGGGTCCCGAAAGAGCCTGAGTCACGGTCCTAAAAGGGCCCGACTATAACATATTTTGGTTTTTACACTCGAAAATCTTAACGCGAAAATTTCAAAATTATGCGAAATTACGCGGAAAATGCTAGATTATGCGGAAATATGCAGAAAATTACAAAATGTGCGGACATGTGCGGAAAACAATAAATTATGCGGACATGTGCGGAAAACGGTAAATTGTGCGATCCCGCACCCATCGCACCTAATATGTGCCTCTGGTTCTTTACAGTTCACAGTGCATTTTAGCTTATTCAAACTTAATTCGATTTACTCACTTACTGCAAGAAGTTAGAATGCAATATGAATTTACAGCAATTGTACCAAATATAATTTACAGCAATCATAAACATAAATGTGAATTGTGAACTCACCAAAAAACAATGATATCAGCAGCACTACCGCCCTCATATGCTAAATTGTCAAGCGATGAACAGTGACAATAATCACCCTCTGCTATGGACAGATTAAGTGTTACAATTCAGTTCTCTGAATTTAAAAACTAATAATACCAAGAGACACCAAGAATACGAAAAGACCCTAAACATTTTGTTGAGAATAAAATATTGTTGTGTAAAAGGCTTAAAAGCATCATCAAGCATTAAAAGCATCACCAAGCATCTTCATCAAGCAACAAGCAAACAGTTTTGTAGATGGGATATGATTCAACAACCAAGAGAAAATAGCACCTTGTAACCACGAGTGTACCAAATATAAATTGCTCTTACAACAAAATGAACAACTTCTTTCAAAGGGCTGTTTATTCTTTTCTATTGTCAGTCAAACAACCAGACTAAACAAACAATGCAACAAAAGAGCCCGTTAACAAAAGGGTCTCAACTAGGGTCATCATGAATTTCCAATACTACATGGTATAGCCCCCTTTCTTTGTCCACCCTAAGTTTTATACCCGTGTAAGGATATAGTGTTGTGATAAAGTAGTGTACAATTTCAACTGCGAGGGTGACAGTCAGGTGAACCTGCTAACTGTTACCCAAGGCTTCCTTAAACCAAGTCTTACATAAACAAACTTGTTTACACTGCACTGATACAATTTGCAGCCGTCAGCTAATGTTTTAATGTAGCCTTCCGATGGAACCCTCTAGAACGTAATGTAGAACAGCAACTCAAGGTAGGCATTAAATCGTACTGATTGAGTATGTATGCCAAATTGCATATGTAATTGCTGTATGCTCATTATATTGGCCTTGGCGACTAATATTGCTCGATGAAGTTAGAGTTGAAATTCAATTCCTACTTACATATCCAGTATCCACTCCTTTTGTCAATAACCCCCATTATCTGGTTAGAGGCCACATAGCGTTCAAGTCTCGAGTGGCAGGATGCTCACGTTTAGAAACTACATCTGTTCCGTTAACTAAATCAGAGTTTACCACGTGCATTTAGATCTGAATGCATATTATATATCCTTTAACTTTTCAAGGTGGCATGAAGTGTTGTGATTAGCTGTGTGATCTGGAAATATTGTACGAGTATATTTATATAAATTAATGACTAAAAATGAAGTGTTACAAGAATATTAACAAACAATCGTTTTAGGGCGAGTTAAAATGTTACACTTTTACAGTACCTGCCTGGACCAAATTTATGATAACGCCTATGATATTGATCTAAATTGTTTAGTTATAGCTAACACCTGCAGTGCAATCTAAATACTACAGTAGTATCATATTAAAATGGAACTTATAAGTCCTAGATTCAGTCAAGTGAAATTTGTGTGATCTGGAAACATAGCACGAGTATTTGAATGATAATGACTTAATTAAAGTTAAAAATGAGGACCGCTATAATGGTGCAAGAATATTCACAAACAATCACTCAAATTTGTACCTCTTAAACATCTTCAGATTGAAATATAAAACATAGTCGTGGCCGCGACAAATGTCGCATGTTTGCATCTGTCACTAATTCAGAAGGTTCGTCATAGGTCAGAAGATGAGCTGATGCAGCTGACCACTCTTCTTTTCTTCTTTGTAAGTTTAAAACAGTCTAGACTGAGTAAACTGAAAAATGGTAATCTTACATTTATGTTTCAGGAGTAAGGACCCGCAAGATGTTTTAGTGTTAAGCGATCTTCACTCAGGTGGACGTACGTTGAAGCACCTTTCTGGCAATTATTAAATAATTTCAATGGTTGTAGTATGAACGAGGGAGGTTTTTTGTGAAGCAAACACTAGATCAGTTGATTGATCTGTTAATCGATCACTAGTTTATTGATTTGGATAGTGACAGAGAGGTGAACAAGATTAGTTTTATCAAGTGAAAATGATAATTTGTTTTGATGGGTCAATACTGGGAGCTGATTGGTTAATAATTGGGCTCGCCTTCCCACTAGTTTTCAGATCTATCGCTAATTGGATACTTAATAAGCTTGGTGTTCGATTTCAGTAACAAGGACGAGCTTGCCTTGTTTATTTTGATCTCAGAAAGGATTGCAGCTGTTTATTGAGTTTCTAGAGATGTTGTTGACGTAATTGTTAGAGAAGTTTTAGCGGGAGAGTACTCACTGCCCGACAACTCACTTGAAGTTGTCCTGGATATTCTCAACAAACTTCTCTCACTGACTCAGAAACTGTTAGTTTTTACTCCTCTCAAGCGCGACTGTAATTTTCTTTCCTACTTTATATACATATTTCAAGAATTTAAAGTAAAAGACTGAATCAGGTTTTTTAGAAGATAATTATACAATCTGATAATACATTTGACCCAAAATAAATAATAATAGGCTATTTTCTATTTATTAAACAATAGCTTCATTCACGAAGTAATAAACTTTTTCAAACTATTCCAAAGCAAGCCTTTATGTGTTTAAACACATAGACTTTAACATAGGCTGAGGGGTGGCTGGAGTTCTGGACTCTCTTCTGAAGGATCTACTAAGTGCACGAGGAAGTTCCTCCTGTTTAATCCGGTGGACTGCGCTATTTTCAGGCGACATAGTTTTACCCAGTTCTCATTTGAGTGATTATTCCTAATGTTCATAATTTTCAGTTCAGCCGCTTCGACACCAGCGGATTGTTTCTCCTCACCATATCCAGATATCACAGCATTCTTACGAACCGTTGTCCCCTCTTTATCAAGATCAATAGTTGTCACCTCCTTTTTGGAGTTATAATCAACAATTGTCCGCGCATTTTTCTTAAAATAAACAGTTGGCGCATTTTTCTTAGAATCAGCAGAAATTTGAACTGTTTCGATGTTCTCGTTATCTTTCAGGACTGATACATCGCCACAAGCGGTTGTCCTCTCCTGATCATCAAAGTCATCAGCGGTCATGTTCTCCGTATCTTCATAAGTTACATCCTCCTCATGATCATACGCGTTTATCATAAAGTACGTTGACAGATCAAAAAGCATGACTCTTTAATCTTCAGTCTATTGCTGAATGGACTATGGAGTGATCGAAACGTCAAAATATGGGGTGTGAGACTAAACTTTAAGGCTTCCTTATATCTATTGAATATCCACGACCATAACGCCCGTCAGTTTCACATAAAATCCAGTCTGAAATGAAGCTTAGAGGTCATGCAAGTAAGTTTTTTCCAACAATGAACAAAGTGATTAAAAGAATAGATTATAATAAATATAATGGAGATAACATTAATACCAATATAGCTGCACCTTCATTGTTGCTTTACATTATAACTTCTATGTATATGAGTACAACTTCTAAACAATAAACTGATTTACTAATCTTCTATAGTTATAGATTCTTCCTCATAAATTAACGGGAAAATTTGTTATCTCAACATTTTTGATTAAACTCAAAGTTGTATTTCCAAAGAAAGCATTCATAAACGGAAAATCATCAAAATATAAAAATAGATTTTGGAAGATTTTTGAAGATTTTTGAAGAGGAGCTTTTCTGCCGACCCCTTGACCGAAATTTTGCGGTTTTGACTGAAATTTTGACCAGTGACTAATCAATGAGGTCGATGAGAGACACAAATCGCAATCAAGGTACTGGAAGCAATATATCCGGAGAAAACTTTGATGCAATGAAAATTTTGAATATGTCCTATCGGTAATGCAAATGGTATAAATTTAAAGACATATTGATATTCGAATTTTAGCTTTCCGCGACCAAAATTTGCTATGGTGTTCATGTTGCTTTATATTATGTACTGCTTATATATGTATATATTATGTGCAGCTTAAAATAAATAATTGTTTTAATTAAATAATTGTTTTACTTAAACAGTGCTTAGGCAAAAAAATACGTGAAAAAAACAAACATTTAATTTCGTCTCAAATCTAAACTTACAGAGAGCAGTTAAACTTAAGCCGCTGTATGGCTCTGTCATGATGAGTGGTGAGTGGTGATACAGCTACAAGTACAATATTGTTGCATGATAAATTCAAAATCAATAGATGTGGATACTGGCGGGGAGGTGATAATTGTTTGTTTACATTAATAGTGAGCACATGTTAAGCAGGCTGAGGAGGTGATCATTGTTTGTTTACATTTTAGGTCGAGCACATGTTAAGCAGGCTGATGAGGTGATACATATTTTGTAACACTTGTAACGCCTTCTTGTTACCCCCCTTTGAGGGCCCCGAATTATTTTCTGAACGAAAGCTCAAAAATAACCGAGAAATCAACCTTCTTATTAACTCATTTTGATGACCGTTTCTAACCTAAAATTGCACGAAAAATCGATTTAGCTAGGTTTCAGAACCTATAAACACTTCCTTATCCCTCAAAATTGATGTTTTATAGTTTAGAATGCGAGCAACAAGCAACATATATTTTGATCCTTCGGTTCTACTGCAGCTCTTGACCTAGGGCTGAAACCGAAAGATCGAGGCAATCCTCACCTTAACTGATCGAACTTGAGCGAAGTTGGTTTTATATTACAGCCCAATAACGCTTCCCTATTCCTAAAATTTTTGTGTTACTCAAACAAATAACATGATGATTCTGCAACGAAAGAACAAGGAGATCATCTCGTTAACAACTTGAACAGGTTCTATCACAATTTTCAGAGCAGAGCACGATAGCAAAGTCAAAAGAAACAAAATAAAGGTAGGTAACCAACACAATGATATAACAATCATAATAGCAACTGAATTAAATTTATTCGGACGACGGGCAGCCCTGATGTGCTCCGTGATCCCGACCAATTGTAATAGATGTGTTCTGTCACGTGACGCAGATCCGTCCAATCACAAACAGGAAGAGTGAGCAGAGGGACATTATATCGTATGTTTACCTTTCTTATCTGTTCACTCGAAATATGAGATTTTTCTGAACGGGCCCCTAACACTAACAGTTAAAACCAACTTAAATCGTAGTATTTATATTTTTGTATGCTGATTGTGAATCACCCAACTGATGCTCCTCTGGCGAGATAACATGCTATGACCTATGATTTCTAATTTCTCGTTAAGGTTTCAGCATATGCTTAAGTTAGAAATCGGGTTTGTGTTAGGGTTA